ACCGTTCAAGAGAAGTTTGCGTAACCTTGTTACAGTCTAGAAATTCAGTAACACGAGTCACGACATATATACCTACATACGTCAGTATGAGTTTGCAAAAGGAACAAGTTTTCTAAGTAAATAAAGACCAGAAGTTGCTTCTATTGTTACACTACATAGTACCCTTTACCATTTACGCAAAACTTTTGTTAATCCAGACTTGTTTGAACATGAAATGTGGAGCTTAAAGTAAATATACTCGTAATTTCTGCTATATTTTGGTTTGCATATCATTAATAAAGGTTTTGGTTACTAACCACAGGCGTTAAATATATTAAAAGATGTTTTAATTATTTCTGTTACACACTCAAATCGGTTACAAATATATAACGGCTATGAAAATCGGCATCTTAGGGTATGTTTCGCACATATGACTATCTATATATTGCTATTTATGTACATTTTGAACCAATTACGGCACACGGCACCATGTCTTTATATTTATATTATAGAAGTGCAAAAAACTATTTTTTTACAACATGTTCTATTAAGTTAGTTATGTATAAACTGTTACCTGAAACTATAGGATCCAGTATATTATTTAACCTGTCAATATACAAAGTCTATACAATGACAGTAGAAATAAATAAAGACATTTAAAACGATAAAAATTCTAGTATCATTAACTGCAAGAATTAATTCACTAATATTTTGGGTTAGTGAATCTATTCCCTTAGTGTTACGTTTTAATAATTGATTACTATTGTTACTTCTTTCATAGTGATTAATTTGTGTAATAGTTGTGAGGTCAGCAGCCGCTGTCAACAGCTGTACTTGACACCCCATATTTAATGACCCGTAACTCAACTAGCGAGCGATACGAAATAGATTGATTTAACCTTACTACTATTATATGTTTGATACTCTATTATGCTAAACAAATACTGACAAAATTCGGCACAGCGATAGATTATATCCTTACCACAAGGTAAGTCATACAATAATCTATCGCTAAAAGCGTGTGCACGCCACATGCTTTTTTATTGATTTTGAAAATAGTTATTAACGTAATTGAATAATGCCAGGAGATAGTGTATAAATAATTCTACCAATAAAGGATCTCATTCATATAAAGGCAGTTCTTTATAAATTCTATAAAATATAGCCTTATTTATATGACATAAGGTTCATTTTTCTAACAACAGCCAGTTCATGTTACAGGTATACGACCCGGAACTGCTCGTACTGTTGCTAACATTTCCCGATTTATCTGTACAAGCTATATTCATTTCTATCCACTACATTATTTTCTCATCTGCCGTCCCTCTTTAATATACCTAATCTTGACGTACATTTATTATTTTTGGATATATATTATTTCGATAAAAAGGTGTGAACATTTTAAATTAACGAAATTAGCAATAAAAAGGCTTAAACGATAATTGACTTCTTCCAAAACAGCGCTAACAAATGAATAGGATGAATCATCTAATTTAAATTATAGACTATTTATTTTAACGTTGAGATTCGCTTGAAACAAATTAGGAAGTGACCCAATCCAGCCTTTGTATAGAGTATTAAGACAATGGTATTGTAGTCCATTGTGTTCGTTTGCTTATTCGAGAACTTTTCTAGTATCTACCGCTGCCGTCCGGAAAATCCTCTGCGGTTATGCATACTCGTAGTTGCAACTTTGTTTAGTTTGTAGTGGCTACTTGGATTTGATTTTGTAAATTAAGATATACTTCAAGTGTAGTTGCTTTTCTGTAAGAATTGGATGTTGCTTTTCTGTTAGAGTTAGAATTTTGTCGCATGTTAGAAATCATTAGTCTTAAGCACATCAATTTTGGTATAAAATTTCATTACAAGTTCTTTACTGTGGCTTTTTTTCTTTGTACGCTTAGATCTTTGAAACTAAGCAAAGGATTTTAATGCGATTTTCACCAGTAGGCAGAGTAATACAAGAGGAAGGTTTAAATTTATAATACATGCATATCATAGCAGAGAAAATACAAGAATTTTAATGATTATTAACATGTTCTGTGCGCTTTCATTGCAAAAGCTGGCTAAACCTTACTAGATAAATCAAATTTAATGTACTACTGAATTATATATCTTATAAAATCCTTAACAACATTTACGATGGTATATGTCTATCTCCTAAAGATAACCCACAGTCACCATTTTCATCTCTTAGATATTGTTGCGCCATAGGATTGAGTGGTTCTTGTGTTTTGTCTGGAGGACAGCGCCATTTACTATCAAGTAGGGCACAACGCTACGCATTGAGATTATGGTTCTTAATTCCGATTCTTAGTGTCGAATATCGGAAGATTATAGAAATTTCTAGGTGCTTTATGTACGTGGTACTGTCTGGAACATTCCATCGAATATTCGGGATTACTCTAGTAATTTCGATAGCACTATAAAAGCGGAGCGTGTAGGTCGTACGGGACAGTATCGTTTTACAACACAGCGAATTAACATCGAAATGAATTTCTAGTGCGAATAACGAGTTAAATAGTGATTTCTTGTTCGTTATAGTGAGTGTTTGTAAATACAGTGCAATAAAAGTAATTAACCGACAACTTTTATTTATTATATATCCCGCTCGTAACAATATTATGGGTTATGTACGAAGCTGTTTTCAACAGTACAGTATTATATAATACATATTTATATGCATTATATATTATCCGATGAAATACGTTAAATAAGTTGTGCATTTAATATAGATCGAAATTTTGAAATGAATATCTTGGAAGATATCAGAGATTTAAAATGTCGCCGCGTCTTCGGGCCGTCCGGCCGTCCCAGATGGTAGCGGCCGGCAGGATCAACAATCCTGTCCTGTAGTACTCGTATAGTCCTATCATAATAATAGTATAATTAATTAGTCCACATTAACACCACATTAGTAATATCTACATGACACCCGTGCGAAGCCAGACACAGAACAAATGACCGTACTCATCACACAATATTTGTCCCACTTTCCACTAGTCCAGTTTAACCCAAAGAAGACACAGGTCAGTGCGTTTACCGCAAAAAAGATACCATTTGTCGTATCACCTCAGTTCCAGAGCACCTATCTAACTGCCTCAGCCAGCATCGGAATCCTACCCATCGACATATCGAGCGAAGTCCAGTTTCGGGGTTACTTAGAGGGTAAGGTCAAATTGGCCTCGAAGAAGCTCGGTGTGCTGAACAGATCGAGGCAGTATTTCACTCCCGCCTACCGCCTTCAGCTCAATAAAGCGCAAGTCCGTCCGCATATGGAATACTGTTCTCATCTCTATGCAGGGCACCTCAGTACCACCTTCTCCCTCTGGACCGCATCCAACGAAGAGCGACTCGTATCGTCGATAGCCCAAACATCCCCGATCGGCTCGATCCCTTGGCGTTACGTAGAGATGTGGCTTCACTCTGCATTCTCTATCGCATATATCATGGAGAGTGTTCCCAGGAATTGTTCGGACTAATACCAGCCGCAAATTTCCGTCATCGTTCCACACGGCAAAATTTTCATCCTCAGTACCTGGATAGTTGGCACTCCACTACTGTGTGTTTTTCGAAACACTTTTTGCCCCGCACAACCAATCTGGGGAACGTCTGCGGTATTTCCGGACCGATACGACCTTCAAACCTTCAAGCAAAGAGCGTACTCCTTCTTAAATGGTCGGCACCGCGTTTGTGACTCCTGATTTGCAGACGTTCAGTGGCGGCGATGATCACAACATAAAAAAAAAACAATAACCACGAGACCAACAGGCCCGTTCCCACAAACAGGTTCATAAAAATAGTGTTATTCTCATTTGTAGTATACAATTTAAATATGTAAATAATGACCCCACAGTATATAAATTACTCTAAACCATAGGCCCTTTGTTTTAAGAATTATACATACATTTGTAATCTTCTTGTAAATAATACGGATATCATCACCGGTTTGCTCGTTTTCGCCCTACACTATAAACAAACAGTATAATTTAATAATAAAACCCATATAATCCATACTTCCATACTAATATTATAAATGCGAAAGTGTGTCTGTCTGCCTGTTACCTCTTTACGCTTAAACCACTTTTTTTTCTTTTTTTTTGTTTGTTGTAGTTTGTGTATGCTTCAAAAACTCAAAAAATTCTTCAACAATTAAGATCAAATGTTTACACGACATGCGGGTTGCATATCGTGCATATCGCTTTAAAGATTGTTTTTGTCTCTTTTTCGTACCGTGGCAGGGTACCTACACCTAGTAGATTATAAGATATAGCACCTTTAGAGAGCGACTTTTATTAATTACTTAATTACTAATTTCATAATTACTTCGTGAAAGTATTTTTCAGATCGATATCTGCAGTCAAAATTTCCGTCATCACCTTTACAGTCATTCAGTACCTGACGTAAAATATTACTGTAAATATAAATAAGCTACCATGTTTTTATCCCTTTCACTAAAGTATGTAAACTATTTGTTTCATCATCATCGTCATCTATCCGAAAGACATAGGGACATAGGCCTCTCCCAAGGTTGACTACAATAACCGGTCCTGTGCTGTCCACATCCAACGGCTTCCTGCGATGTTCATCAGGTCGTAAGATCCGTTTTCCGGTACGCGATCGCCAAACGAGAACTCTTTAAACTCGTCAGTAATCGTATCATTTATCTTTTTTTTAACTGTTGAAAATTATTTTTCACGACAAATTTGATTAATCTTGGAACTCTCCAGTAAACATACACGAATTGATAAGGCACCGTACAATATGAGGTCCCTACATAAATCATTCGCCTTCAATTTCCAATAATAAACTTGCAGTGCGCTTTATCTTTCTAGGTCGTAGCGTATAGAAAGTAGTTCCAAGTTACCAAACAGGGCAATGAGGTCAGCTAATGGAGCAGAAAACCGCTCGTACTTACTCGAATTAAATTTGTTCGTCCGTTTACCACTAGATATTAGGGATGGCAATTAATCAGACCTACTGCCTTTATCCCCGCTTAAGATTTATGGTCTTTAGCCGCTATGCCTCAAATGTGTTTATCTCTATTGTTACAGTTGGTTAAACATATTGTAAGTTATCCTTAAATATATTTTGTCGGCAAGATTCTTTTAGGGTTCCTTTTGTGTGTGAATTACTTTGTTGGTCATCACTATCATGGTTTTATGTTGTTTATATCCTAGATTTTAATTCTATTTTACTCGTAGTCTTAATATGGCAACTTCACGCATTTCACACATGGCGATTTGATCCCAAACTAGGCAGAGCCTTTAGTATGGTATCCAGACTGCTAATAAACATACTTATATAAATATTTCTTTTATTATATATATAATAGTAAATAACACACACATTTTAGATAAATTACACCCAGACACAGAACAATGATCGTGCTCATCACACAATCATTTGTCCTGGGTGGAAATCGAACCCACGACCTCTGGCTTAGCCGTCGGGGTCACTATCCACTAGACTAGACCAACAGGCTCGTCAAATTATCTATGGAAATAAATAAGTAGGTTTAAATTAAGTATATGTCAGATTTAAGACAATCACCAAAAAAGTCCTAATTTAATGTGTAAACTGTTAAATTCCAGATAGCGCCACTATCACACCGCTGGAAGGCAGCTATAGAGAAAAGGATCAAAGAAGTTAGCCAAATGACCTTGGCGGCTGTGCTAAGAGGTGCTCGTCTCCAGCCCGGACAGTATTGGAATCTTTCTGGAACCTTCCTCTTTACAATTTATGTCATGACTGCGTTGGGTACGTGTCACCTTTTTGTTTTTATAATTGGTTTGCTATAGTTGGCAAAAAAGCACAACCGCCTTGTAGCTTCTAACCAAAGTTTGTTCGAGGAGTTGGTTGCCCCGGGGTTGGATCGGGCTGTAGTTGACAGTCTCCATCCATCTATGGTAATAGATCTCACAGCTGACGATTATACTAGTAGTTGTACTTATAAACCTAACAAAATTGTAAAATGCAGCTTGAGAAAATTGAAAAAATACATTAAAGTTAAAAAAATAATTACCAAAACAAAAAAAATGATTCAGAAACAAAAATTTTTTATTAATAGTATGTCACTAAATAGGCAGAGACTTCATCTGATTGATCAGGTGTCTATGTACTCATTAGAACTAGACAACATGTCGAGTCAATACATTAAAGATACAAGAGAATTACAAAGTGAGATTGACCGTCTTAAAGAACAACTTAGTAATATTACCTATAAATATGAAATTTCCCAAAAGCAGAACAGGGAGCAGGTGCTGGCTATTGGCAGGCTGGTTAACTCCTGTAAATGTAATGATTCAGTGTATTCTATAGACAGCCCCAGGACAGCACATGCTCCTTCCTCGCTGCCACCACAACCTATCAGAACTTTTGTACCTGAATTCAAGGACTCCCATTTACAAACAAACAAATTGTACAAAAAATGATAACATAGCAATGTTTAGTGATGAAATTGGAAAGGGCATGGGTCCCTTAATGTTAAATACACAGTTGGGACATTCATTCAGCAATTATTGCATGCCTCACTCATCTTTTAATGATATTATGGAAAAAGTTTTAAATTCCAAATCAGACCACAATGTAAATACTTCATTAGTCATTTTTGTTGGTAACAGGGGAAATGTAAACAAAAAGAAATTCTTAGGCTACTTTGAATCATTGTTAAAGTTAGATGTAAATAAAATTGTATTGTTTACACTTCCTCTTAGCAAAGGGTTGTCGCAGAAGGAAAGAAATCTATACTAATATTATAAAGCTAAAGAGTTTGTTTGTTTGTTTGTTTGTTTGTTTGTTTGAACGCGCTAATCTCAGGAACTACTGGTCCGATTTGAAAAATTCTTTCAGTGTTAGATAGCCCATTTATCGAGGAAGGCTATAGGCTATATATCATCACGCTAAGACCAATAGGAACGGAGCACCAATGAAGAATGTTTCAAAAACGGAGCAAATTTATTACTATTGAGAGACGCAGACGAAGTTGCGCGGGTCAGCTAGTGTTAGATATAATTTAAATATAATGATGCACAACCTAACTTGCCAAATAAATGGACCCTATTGTAATAAATTACATCTAATCGACACTAACAAGCTTGTTAGTAATAATATTTCATTGACGAAAGGTAGATATTACCTTTCTAATTATTATAAGAGACAGATAGCAATTTCGCTATCATATTATTTTTCCATTACAGCCAAGAACTTGGCTAAAACTATTGCTTCTATTGAGCAAATTGACATTACCCATAGCGACTTTGCCAATCCGTTGGCAGATATTTCTTTAGACATTAATAAAAATTTAAATGACATACCTAATAATTTACATAATAATGAGATTGACATTTCAAATAATTTAAATTTACTGATAAGACAATAGAGACTACCTCTTGCACTATTAATTTGATCACTAATAGAAAGTTCAATCACAGTAAATTTATTAAAAATAATATGATAAATAATATAAATTTGGTGCATCAAAACATTAGAGGAATGATGGGCAAAGACTTGGAGGTGGAACTGTTCATGAACTGCAATGCAATTGATATTTTTTGTATTACTGAACACTGGCTAAAAGGGGATCAGTTTATGTTCAATTTTGACCACCACCAGGTAGGCAGCTCGTTCAGCAGAAGTACAGCAATACATGGTGGCACTATGATACTCATTAATAAGAAACTTAAATTTAAAGAGCGCCATGACATTGTTAGTTTATCAGTTGAGCGAACTACAGAAATAGCCTGTTTAGAACTAAAAGGTTTCATAGTAGTATGTGTATACAGACCTCCTTCAGCTATGTATGATTGTTTTGAACGTGTTATGGATGAAGTATTAGTTAAAGTAACAAGATCAAAAAAGAAGGTCATCATCTGTGGTGACTTCAATATTAACCTATTGGAAAATTCAAGTATAGTAACCAAGTTCAAGGCACTTTTTCAATCATACAATCTGAAGAACTTGTTCTTGGAGCCTACACGAATCACTGCCACCACTGCCACATGTTTGGACAATATATTTACAGATATTGTTATTAAGGACAAGAAAATAATCAATCAATTACATTCTGACCACTGTGGTCAATTAGTATCTTTCTGTGATAGGTATGAAAAAGTGTCAGAAAAAAGAATTGTGGTGATACCTAAAACCGCAAAGCGTTGTGAAAACTTTAAGGATAAACTTAAAGCTGCTTTTAATAATTCAGTACTCTGTGTAGAGAATAACCCTAATACTTATTATAATAGTTTTTTTGAAACTTTCTCTTCAACATTTAACACCATTTTTACACCAAAAACGCTAGTGGTTAAAGGTAACGCCACATTTAGTGAATGGGCTACCCCTGGCTTACTCAAAAGTAGGAAAAGATTATACGAGCTATACGATGAGAGGAATTATAATAAAAGTGAACAGTTTCATAATTATGTTAAAGAATATTCGAAGCTGTTTAGGAAACTTTGTAAACTGGCTAAGTCTCGTTTTATTAGTTCAAAGATTAAAAGTAGTAATGATAAGATTAAAACCACTTGGAAAATTATTAATAGTGAAACTGGCAAAGATCCAAACCGTGATAATGAATTTAATTTAAACATAAACAATACATTTATCACATCAAATGCTGAGGTTGCTGCTGCATTTGAGAATTTTTTTACTAACATTCCTGTATCAACTACTAAATCTTTGAACTCCTCACCATACCTTGCAGAATCAATTTAAAAGAGAATGTTAGAAGAATTGATAGTGAATTTAAGTTCCAATATGTGTCCCCCTTTGAAATTATTAAAGCCTTTAACACTATTAATGTTAAAAAAACAACCGACCTATGGGGAAATTCTGTTTTAATTACTAAGACAATTATATCTCTTGTGGCTAATCAATTGTCATTTACATTTAATCAATGTGTTGATAGTGGTGTATTTCCTGATCTTATGAAGTCTAGTAAAATTATTCCCTTATTCAAATCTGGTAGTACATCTGACCCAACTAACTTTAGACCTATCTCAGTACTACCAGTATTTAGTAAAATTTTTGAAAAAATTATGTATGATCAATTGCACAGTTTTTTTAATAATAATAATTTATTGCCCAATAGACAATTTGGTTTTACAAGGGGTCGCTCCACAACTGATGCTAGTGTTGAGCTAGTAAAACATATATTTGATGCCTGGGAGGATGCCCACGATTCTCTAGGTATCTTTTGCGATTTATCTAAGGCTTTTGATTGTGTTGTTCATGAAACGCTGATCAGGAAATTACAGCACTATGGTATCAAAAATAAAGCCCTGGAACTACTTGCCTCATATCTATGTAATAGGATTCAAAAAGTTGATATTAATGGTGAGCGGTCTCCAGGCTCTATGATAGAAATGGGCGTTCCACAGGGTTCTATTCTCGGCCCTTTTTTGTTTTTAGTATATATTAACGACTTACCTCACTTTGTCAAGGACAATCTCGAGATTGTGTTGTTTGCAGATGATACATCACTATTATTTAGACTAAAACGGACACTTTCTGATTTCACATTTGTAAACAGCGCCATTTCGAAAGTGGTTCATTGGTTTGATGTCAACAATTTACTATTAAATGAACAAAAAACTAAGTGTATACGTTTCACTATGCCAAACGTCAAGCCAGTGAAAACTACTGTGATAATTAAGGATGTCGGGCTGGACCTTGTGGACACTACGACATTTTTAGGTATAACACTAGATGCTAAGCTACAGTGGGGCCCACATATTGATAAATTGTCGAGTAGACTCAGCTCAGCAGCATACGCAGTAAGGAAAATCCGAGAGTTGACTGATGTTGATACAGCACGACTTGTTTACTTCAGTTACTTTCATAGCATAATGTCGTACGGTATTCTGCTGTGGGGGAATGCTGCCGACATTCAAACTATTTTTGTGCTGCAAAAGAGAGCTATTCGAGCACTTTATAATTTAGGCAATCGTTGTTCATTGAGGCAGAAATTTAAAGAAATAAATATAATGACAGTGGCAAGTCAATATATTTATGAAAATGTAATATATGTTCACAAAAATAAAGATATCTTTTTAAAAAAAAGTGATGTACATGCCATAAATACCAGAAATAAAAATAAATTTGTTGTACCCGCCTCTAGGCTCCAAAAGATAAACAAGTCTTTTCGAGGCCAATGTGTCCGATTTTATAATAAAATCCCAAATAATATTCAGGAGTTGAGTATTAACAAATTTAAATCCGCAATAAAACGTGGCTTGTGCCAGAGGGCCTACTACTCGATTGTGGATTACATGGAGGACAAGAATGCTTGGGATTAATTAGCGCAGGCTATTTCTTTCTTAAGTAAAAATGTGGTGTGGCTAGTATGTTTTTTATTACTTTTTCTATTTTTTATGTTTCACTTCATTTTCTCTTGTATTCGTTTGTTCTTCTTAATCTTGTTTTCTCTTCGTTGTTTTTTCACCTTTAAGTCCTTAATAACGGACATACTAGCACACATCAAAACAATGTTGTGATATATTTAATAGTGCCATTGTATCTACTTGTGAATTGCAAAAGAGTGGCCATGAGTTTGTTTGCCCTTTCTTCTCATAAGGCTCAACCCCTTGGAAACGGGCGGTTGTAGATCGGCACAGGCATATCATAGATTTTGTATGGGTTTGATTTTGTTAAATTTATTTGGTTACTATTTGACAAAACAGAGATTGTTGCTTTTGTGTGTGTTGATCTATGACTTTAGAGTCTACATGGAAGACGATTTCAAACAATTTTGAAAATTTTATGAAATGAAGAAAGTTTGAGTTTGAGTTTGAGTTTGAGTTTGTTTGTGTGAAGTTTTGCTTCTCTTTGATGTTGTCCTGCGTAGTTTGCTCCCATAGACGGCTCTTACGACACCCACGGCATTAATAGAAGTGGTGACACTTGTTGTTGGTTGATGGTTTCGAAAGGGGCAGGCACGACTCCTACAGGCCCGGCTGGCAAGGTGCTTCCGGTGCCTATCGGTGGGACATTCAGTGCACGGCAGAGGTCATCGTAGGTGACCTCGGCTTCCGCTGTGGGCAGCCCGGTCACTTGCAATGTTCCGCTGCGTAGCTTTAGGCGCAACGGGGGACAAGCCTGCTGACCACCGGGTTGGTAGTAAGGCCTGCGCCGGGTCAGACAGAGGGTGATGCTGGAGAGCGGCAAGGTTCGCAGCGGGATGCGGAGATGGAAATCCGATAATAGATCCACATATCCGCATCCTATAGGCGAACGTGGTTCACGGTGTCGTTGCTCAGGATCTTCTGTTCCCACATCATTTAGGGAGTAAAAGATTCTCAGTCAACATCGGGGTTTCCATACAGTAGGGGGTTATCTATAATCAGTGGATGGCCCGAGGTGCGGCGGGGTTCCTGGGATTTCCTTTCTAGGGTTCCCACCTGGTTCCCTGTCAACTAGTATCCGAGGCAGCATGCGGTTCTTGATCGGTTCGAGTCCGACATAGCCACCCCACTGGTGGGTGGTATCCGAGGGGATTTCCGCACGAAAAAAAAGGCGTTTTGACACTGTATTCTTAATCTCTCACCACACGAATCTTCAGGTGCCCTCAATGGCTTAATTGTAATATTATAAATGTCAAATATCTATATTTTAATAAGGCTAAAGACTTATTTTTTAATCTCGGGAGCATTCATTCTAAGTTGAAAATCGCTACGTAATGTCACCAATGACACTAAGGACCAGAACACTAACCGTTAATGAAAGTGAAACTTTGGAATGGCTATGCAATTTATTTTGAATCGGTAACAAAGATTAAATTAAAATAGTTAAGTAATTAGAGATTATTATGGAATCTTTATTGTGTCAGCAGGATTTGGCGCCCCAGTGCCGCGGACAATAGAAGGTAGATCTGCAGTACTGGTATATGCTGGTTTGGCAATACCTGTACATTTATATCTCAGTAAGTAATCATATCTGTAATGTCGCTAATGTATACTGGTGGTAAATCAAGTTATTTACAATATAAACCACAGACATTTTACATAGGGTATATAAGAGCATATTATTTTGCATATTTGAATTTGTCACTACAACTGTGCAATTTAAGTAACATCGCAGTAAAAATGGCTACAAATGTTTTTTGGTTTTTAATTAAAAAGACAACTCCCGCACTAGGAATATATCCTGTGTCATGGCCCATGACACATGGGGGACTTTATAAACATACATGAAACGGACACAAATAAATTGAATAAAAAAATCGTTTTAATAAGAAATTATAATGTAATTAAATAAACAAAATTTTTAAGTCGTCGAAGCGTGGCCAGGTACAGCTAGTTTAATATAAATATAAAAACGACTTAAAACTTAATAAAAATAGATAGAGCTCAGTGATATATTTCTTGAATACTTGAATATTTCAGTGATGAACGCGGGCATGTGCATTGTGGTACACGCGCAAGCTTATGTGAAACAACTCAGCAGGAGGCTACGGAATCACAGGACGTTTACAGGTGGGAAGTCTAATCTTGACAATGGTACGACAGTATTACTATTAAATAAACATTAAAATACAAAACGAACAAAATACAAAACCCCGCCAATTTAATGTATGTTACAGTCAGAACTCCTAATGAGTGAAAAGTATTTTAGCCGACATTAAGGCTAAGTACTTTTGACTGCTGCGTCAGATACCATCTACTGTTATTGAATCATTTGGGTTAGGTTAGAAAGTTAGAACAATGTGATGTTGCGGTCAAAAGACCTATTGACTAATTTTGCCTTGCTTTGCTGTACCTAACATATATATATATATTGTTACGAGCAGGGTATATAATAAATAAAAGTTGTCGGATAATTACTTTTATTGCACTGTATTTACAAACACTCACTATAACGAACAAGAAATCACTATTTAACTCGTTATTCGCACTAGAAATTCACTTCGATGTTAATTCGCTGTGTCGTAAAACGATACTGTCCCGTACGACCTACACGCACCGCTTAACGTACCAAAACATTTTCAGTTTACTTTAGTGATTTAAGTGATTTTTGGTTTAGTTTCGTGAGGCACTTTCTTGAGAAATAGAAAAAAATATATAACATGAGAGAAGCCACAGGCTAAATGTAGTAAGTATTAATATCCATTTAACTACTTCTACCTAATGCTACCGAATTTCCGAAGTTTATGCGCATGTTGGAAATTAATTATAACTTGCTCAAACTTTGAAGAAAAACATTTAGAGGAAAACTGCGTAAGTACCTTAAAGTTTACCGTAATATTTGCTGGGGATTTTTTTCTTTTGAAACCCATACACATACAGAATCTTCGTTAATTTCACAAAATGTTCACAATACTTTTAAACCATCGTGTTCCCGAATATATTGTTTAAGGGAATTAACGCCATTAAGTACATTCATTTTCATTACCTGACATTTCGTCCTGCAGTGCTATTCTTTAAGGAAACAGCCTTGCGTACAGCGCTGCAGCAGCGTCGAGCTTCAAGCTAACTTAGTTTGAAATTCAACGATACAGCGCTGTCACAGCGAATTTAAAACTAAGTTAGCTGGTTGCACTGGCCGTGGTCACGGTCAAACAGGAAATTCAAAGTATATTAACCGTGAGAAAGTTCGACCGGAGTTAAAACACGGCCTCACAGAAAATCGATGTAATAAGCAGTTCTTTCGTTGCTACCGGAGCCCAAACCTCCCCTCTATTTGAATCCGGGTGAAGGGGTTCACCCGGATTCAAATAGAGGGGAGGTTTGGGTGGCAACGCACTTGTGACTTGACTTATAGTCGTAGGTGACTTACCCTCAGATTACCCGTCTGCGCGTTTGCCAATTATTACAATAAAAAAATGAAATAAAGGCGGCTGATGAAAGCTTTAGTTTAGTCAAGATTTTTTGTTATGACATTAACAATAACAATACTTTAGTTTCTAAGCAAAATGTGAAAACTTTTTTTTTAAATACGTGGGGCATACTGAAAGTCTCTTGATCTGGTCACTTACAATAAAAGAATGAAAAACAATTATGGAATTCGAAAATGGAACTCTTTGGGAACCTGTTACTTTTTAATTTGCGAGACTGACATTTGTTTTTTCATTGTGATAGCAATTTTCGAACGTACATCACGTTCGAAAAATTGTGTGTTGCTAGATATCAAAATGAATTTAACCCGTGAACATTTTCGTTTAATTCGTGTATTCGTGGATAGTTTATGAAGAGATGATGACGATGAAGAGATGAGAATTTAGATGAATTTAGAGGTTTGTCAAGGTCGGCTGGCGACTGCGGTTACAGATTCTACTCGTAAAATTGACACCGTATGACAACTTAGTCAAACTGACAAGAAACTTACTTGCCAGCAAATTCGTGCTTTGTTAGGCATTGGAATGGGCCAATTGCAAATCATTGAAAGTACAGCCTAGAAAATCAAATACGAGACATACACTTCCAGGCCCGTCAGGCCACAATCGAGATTCGGAACGTACCAATCAAAGAGAGAGAAAAGCCCGAAGACCTCATTTCTGTTTTAGCAGACATCGGGAAGGCTGTTAATATGGATACACAACCAGCAGCGCTCCGGGACATATATCGGATTCCTGGAAAACCGGGTGTTTGTAAACCCATTGTTGCCGAATTCGCCAGTGTTAATAACAGAAACAATTTCTTAGATAATGTGAGGAAATTTAACAAAGAGCAAACTTTGGAAAACAAGTTAAACACTCAGTTGATTGGAATACCGGGAGATAAAAAACCGGTGTACGTAGACGAGCACCTTCCACCATCATTTAAAAAGCTTTTATATGAAGCCCGCACATTCGCTGAAGTTCACAACTATTCTAGCTGGTATTCCAACGGCAAAATCCTGCTGCGTAAATCCCCGACGGAAAAACCAACTGAAATAAAAACAGCTAAGTGTCTCGTTGTGTTGTAGAAAGGGTAATGACTACACAATATCTAGTTATTTTTCAAATAGCATGCAGAATGATTTTTTTAACAAGTCAGCTTTGTTTATTTTATTTTATATTTCTTTATTAAGTCAGTTTATCATCATTCTTATGTTGTTATTTTTATTATGGAGTCAATTATTTGTAATTCTAATTTTGATGATGTAGGATTTTGTTTATCATTGTATGAACACACAATTACCACTCAGATTATACAAACACATTTATCAAAACACATTATTGTACTCCTACATACGCTACGGAATCACCAATGGCTACTCTTCCTTCGCAACACGTACTCCTTTGGATACATACAAGTACATACACGTACATTCAAATCACGCTTTGCTTTAAACCCAGTGCTCATATTATTAAGCTTTCATCTATATCTAAGACTTATCCTGAGCCATCTTTCACTTGCACCTTATATAACCACAAATGCTTAGCGATATAAATCTAATAAATAGCCTAATAGATAATCTTTCTATATCTAAATCATATTATTGTAAACCTGAAGTTTGTAATAAATATATTAAAAACCCGGGTGACTACCTGAATATAATCTCGCAAAATATTAGATCAATTAATCATAATTTCCATAACTTTGACACACTCCTTACCCGTCTATCCATGGAATGCGATATTATTGTTCTCGCCGAATGCTGGCTCCCCTGTCTTAGTAATGCTAGCTTGCCCCAGCTCCGTAATCACTCCATAAGCCATACCAATAACTACCGTAATCAGAGTGACGGCGTGGTTGTATATATATCGATCAAATTAGCTTATAAAACCCGCGAGCCTGATTTTCAGGGGTCTGCTTCTGGATTTATTATAGAACTGGACACGGATGTCGCTATACTTTATAGATATAGATCTCCCTTGAACAATTGTATTCAAATTTACCTGAACTCGCTTAACGAAATATTATGTTCCTTAAATAGATTCAAAACAGTTGTTATAACCAGCAACATAAATATTAACATCAATGCAGATCAAAACAACCACATGGACTATCGAACCCATGATTACCTGAATTGTCCCGCTTACCACGGATTTCTGCCAACTCATACCCTACCAACTAGAGGCTCTACCTGTCTTGACCATACTATACTGAGAACCAGATCTCCATCTTCTGTTTTTGTTCTTGAGTCTACGGTAACTGACCACTTTGCGACCCTCCTCTCTCTAAACCTAAAGCCACAGTGCAATCATCCAGTCACTTCCATAATAAAAACAAGCTACGTCTCTCTCGACAAATCAATGGAAAGACTTGACCTCTCTCACATACTCGCTATGTCAGAACCCAACTCCGCAACAAACTGTCTTGTTCAAACACTCTCCCAGACAATTAAGCAAAATACATCGACAAAGCATAGCTCAAAACATAAAAGAATCTTAAAGCCCTGGATTACCCCAGGGTTACTAAGATGCATGAGAAATAGAGACAAAATGCACAAAAAGTGTAGGCACTCGCCGGAAAACACAGTATTGCTAACTACCTATACAAGATATAGAAATTTTTGTAACAAAATCTTGAAAAAAGTGAGACGACAATTTGATTCGGATGAGTTAGCCAAAGCTGGTACCAATACTAAATTAATATGGGATACTGTAAAACGCGTGATACATAGTACAAAAACTACACGAACACCAACAGAGCTATTCAATTCTACCAAAACCTAATCGCAATCTGTTAACGAGGTTAATGAATTCTTTGTGAACATCGGAAAGGATCTTGCTGATCATATAAAAACTATACAACCCAATACCTTCAGTAGCCCACCAATGACCTCAAGGAATGGATGTCGAAACTCATTTGTTCTTTAAGATACGGACCCTGACGAAGTAGCCTCTACTATAATGTCACTAAAATCGAATGCCGCAGTAGGTCATGATGGAATTTCTACAATTTTTTTGAAGAGATATTCTGTAATCCTAACAGCCATACTATGCCATCAATCTGTGCTTTGCCTCCGGCACTTTCCCATCTTCGTTTAAAAAGGCAATCATTCATCCAATTTTCAAGGCTGGCGACCGTACTAATGTCAATAACTACCGCTCAATTGCCATTCTAACAGCACTCTCCAAGGTCATGGAACGTCTAATGAATAAAAGGCTTATTAATTATCTGGAGTCTAATGCGTTACTGTCCCAGAATCGGCTTTAGAAAAATGAAATCAACTTCCTCTGCAGCTTTAGAACTTGTAAATGGAATAGTTATAGTAGAATAGTAGAAAGACTTAACCAACACAAGAAAGTCCTTACAGTGTTCCTTGATCTTGCAAAAGCGTTTGATACGGTCCCTCTCGCTTGCCTTATTTCCAAACTTGAAAACGTGGGTGTTAGAGATACACAGCTTTAACTCTTTAAATCCTATCTCACTGGTCGCTCACAAAGAGTGATAATTGACAAATATTTAAGTGATGAGCTGCCCATTTCATATGGAGTCCCGCAGGGCAGCGTATTAGGCCCTACCTTATTCCTAGTCTACATTAATAACCTTTGTCAAACCACCTTACTGTCAGGACAAATAATTTCCTTTGCTGACGACACTGCCATTACCTTCTATGGTGGCGCATGGTCACAAACACAAACTGCAGCACTAAATGGATTCAACACTATCTATAAATGGCTCTTCTCACAGTCACTTACACTGAACACCTCTAAAACCAAACTCATCACATTCTCACTTAACTCCTCATCTCAACCGAAGACACCAATTATACTATAAGTACACACCTGTAAGAAGGACTCACCTAATTGTAACTGTCCATCAATAACTTCTACCGATAGACCTTAGAGGCACACGTTGTACGAGCCGCCATGAAGTCATTGCAGGGGTCCCTAAGGAAGACTGATCCAACTGCTTTGTACCGTGGTTTTAGCGAATGCAAAAAAATGTCATTAATTGCGAGGGAATATACTTTGAAAAACAATAAATATATTGTAAGTCCTATATCTTGTCTCATTTATCAGAATCCAGAAACTTTCAGTATGCCCTAAGTATATATTTAAAGACGCTAATGTTAATTAACTTACGAAAATATGTCAACAAAGTTGGAGCTGCAAAGCTTTTTCTTAATCAAAGCTTTACCGATGCAACACTGTCGGCATTTTAATCACTAAGTTCACAACATGTGGTGAAGCTGTTATTATTGTGATTTCGAACTTGATTGCTCCAATTAGCGCAATCAATTCCCACATTTAATTTTGTCTTGAAATACACAATTTATCGACTGGTAACATTAATACTCGTATGTAACTGGAGCAACTCTAAAGGCGGGCGAGAATTACTTAATCTTGCTTCTATAGTATCACTGTACGCAGTGCTTATATGGCAAATATAGATTATATTCGTCACTTAAGAAGATTTAGTGATTAAACGGAATAAACTTTACGGTCTATTAATAAAGATTATTTATAATAATAATATAATTATTTATTGCCTATATTTTACTCTGTTTTTGTTTGTTGTGTCAAAAATGCTGCTAAGTAATAGTCTTATTTCCTTATATTCTTTTTAAAAACATTATTTGTCTGGCCACCATCTTCTCTTTTTTTTTGTAACCTTTCTTTTACATAACTTACTCATATTCATATCATAACAATTTCACGCTTCTTAGATTTTTCATTATAAGGCCACTTGTAAAATTTCTTCCCACAATGGTACGCGCCATATAACGAAGTTCGCGCGAGAAGCACAGCAAAATGATATTTTACGTATCAGAGGGGTAATTTTTAGGGGGTCTTTTAAAAAACCCAATTTACTGAAAATTACTTCAGATTATTATAGATATTATTACAGATATTTTTTAGTAATTTGTCATTTTAATAGAATACATTTTTAACATAATTCTAGAAGTGTCTATTCATTGATAACCTATTCACTAGTAGTCCGGAGTTGTTTTAAAAGCGTTATATGTATTTTACTTTTTTGCCACTTTGGTATTTAAAACATTAACGTGTACATTATATAATTAGTTACAATTGTGAATTAAATAAATAAAATTTTATTATTACTTGTTTGTAGCATAATAATTTACGCAAAAATTTATAAAATGTTTCTACGTTCGTATGTTTGTTTACGAGTGTAACTGCGCAACATTCGGTTTGCAGCCAACTTCATTGACGCAGAGTTATGTGGCGCGTGCTATACATGTTAAGACATGCTGGGTTAGCAGTGGCTATATATAAATCTGATTGATTGATTAATACCTAGCTAACGACCTAAATTTATCTAAGTTACTCTTGTTTCCTTAAACATGCACCTAAAGCAATGTAGGACCGCATAGTATTTTCCTTGAAATAAAGTATTTGTAAAAAGTATTAGAAATAACTAAGTAATGATACTAATTCGTCGGCACATAAACATCTGTCGATCAGTACCACACGAAAATAAATCACTAAAGTATATTAAATTCAGTTTTAATATTGTATACGAAATTATTTCTTGAAAGATCTCTTTTAACAATATTCCTACAAGGACTTTGTCGCATTAGAGCGCAGATTAAACAAGGTAATAAGTGAGTTAGCCGTGTTTATTACAGCCAGGGACTACTGATAATGGCGATAATAGGCTATTACGGTCCGGTTTCATAGTAAGCTGCATTTTATTGGACCCCTGATAGTCTAGGCGATATTGTAGAGTTTCAGTTATTTATTTAGTTATTATTTTGTAGTATAAAACGCGCATTCACAATATGAAGGGTTCTTTTGTTATGTTTGGCTATTCGACGAATACATTGTTACGGCGAAGATAGTACAAATAATCGTAAAACAGCATAAAAATATAACATTCTCAATTTATTAAACTAAATCAAACTAACAAAACACTATGACCACAATAATTTAATATTTAGACACCATTTACTAGAACGACAGTTGAAGGAATGTGCACTTTTTGCACTTGGCAAATTGACGTTTGAACTATTTTAAAGACAATTAGCTTGGACATATTTACAACCAACTAAATCTCAATGATTAACTGTAAATGTTTGTTTCAGAGAGTCCAAACTGTAGCCGGCACTCGAAAGTTCTAAAGGCGCCAAGCCGTTGTTGCTTTGGTTTGAAAATAATGGTAGGCTTTTGCTGATGAATTGTTTTAGTTATTTAAAGTCTTTAAGTAGGGGCCATCCATATTTTATTCACACAGGGTCTTAAGCTTATTAGCGACCTCGCGTTGTAATAATGTCAAAATCTACGTATTGAATTACAAGATTTTTCATTAAGAGACTTTATTATTCATCGTTTGTGAATTAGTGTTGAATTAAGTAAAAAATGAAATGTCTTGTTTTATTTTTTTAATGTCTGGATATTAAGTTATACATATATATACATGGGAAAGAGTTTCACAAATGTGACAGCCTTCGACAAGAACGGTAAGGGTCAAATATTTATAAAATTCGTGTAACGTAATTTATTGATGGCACTATACAAGTAAGTCCTAAATACCATTTATTTAGCAACTTTAGGTAAGTAGAAGCACTTAAACAGATACTACTATAAAATATACCCGACTTCAGTTTTTTAATTAACTTTACACTATTTTAATATCTAAAGACGATTGTCATTGAATAAACACCCATTTGAATATATCGTTTCAAAATTTTGACAAGTTTTTTGATTCTATTCAAAACTTGCTGCTTAAAGTACTCAAAATTACAGTTAGTTCATTCATGAAAAATAATTAAAATAATGAACCTCTCTACCTACTTGCCTGTTTTTTGGCAACATGATACACTTAATCACCCTTTTTTTTATGGAGTATATAGTGTTTTCACTAAAAACCACCACGACGCGACGGCCGGCCTTTGGCGGTCTACTCTAGGGAGGACCCGGACCATGTGTTTTCGGGTCCCCTTCGAATCGGCGCCGTACCTAACTAGGCCCTCATCATCAACAACCTTTAACAGTCCACTGCTGGACATAGGCCTCTCCTTAGAAAGGAGGTTTTGGCCTACTATACCACGCTGGCCAGAAGGGTTGGTAAAGGGTTTGTTTTCAGTTTTCCTTCTCTTTGCAGTGCTATTGTCCTGCGTAGTTTGCTTCCTTAGTCGTCTCTTACGACACTCACGGGATGAATAGGGGTGGTGACACTCCGTATTCTTAATCCGTCACCACACTAGGCCCTATAGACACTTAATTAAACTACAAATTTTGATATCGAGCTAAAAGCGGTTATCTAAAAGCAAGCAATAAGCAGCAATAAGAGTTAACACTAAGAGCAAATTAATTTATGTTTAACTAACTTTCGTTCTCTTTACGATCAGTATATGCTCATGTACACATTAAAAGCTTATGTGAATGACCAACAGCGTTGCCTCAGCGTGCTCAAGGCATGTCACTGCGTGCCACTAGCTGCAGTGGTGTACTACTTGACCGGCGCATGTGTCTTTGGCAAGCTAGAAGACCATGAGATTCTGAAGTCTTTAATGTTCCCTCTAGAATTTACTACAAGTGGAGGACTGGACCATGTAAGTAAAATAGAGTTCCTGTTAATAGAATTATCAGAATATAAATTAGAATATAAATATTATTTTAATCTGAGAATAATTAATAGAATATTATTTATAATTAAGATTAAAATAATATTTACTTAGGTATATCACCGTATCAAGTTTAGTATTGTTTTTATGGGCAACGAGTAAATGGTTCACACTCAACTTTTCAACTCAAGAGTCACAAATGTGTTGCCTCCCTGTGAGTCCCTGCCCTTGAACCGGACAATCACTCGGTGAAAAGCACCGAAAATTCTGCATAACACCGGTTTTCTGTGAGGCTGTTGTAAAACTCCGGCCGAGTCGGCCCATATATGCTGTAGCATAATTCTCCCACGACTAAATTTTACCGTCATTGTCCTGTAAATTTATAATTCCTTTTACCAGCGTTAAATACTGATTTACTAACTTTTTCTCAGTACTTATGTACCTACAATACTTAGTTAATTACTTTTGCAATTGTTACTGCTGCTTAACTTCTACAAGGTTCTACCGCAGACCTATGTCGGTCTGGGACCTGGTCTGTCATCATCATCAACAGCCTTTAATAGTCCACTGCTGGACATAAGCCTTTCCTTAGAAAGAAACCTCCTTTCTAAGGAGAGGCTTATGTCCTACTACTGGCCTAGTATACCACGCTCGCCAGATGGGTTGGTATAGGGTTTGTGTCAAGTTTTCCTTCTCTCTGCAGTGCTGTTGTTCTGCATAGTTTTCTCCCTTACTCGGCTCTTACAACACCCACGGGATGAATAGAGGTATTGATACATCGTATTCTTAATCCGTCACCACACAGATACTGGTCTGTAGTAGAGGCTATTAATATTTTAACACGCTTTTATTGGCTTGGTGTGTATGTATGTACGTAGCGGCATCTTCAAACGCGATTTTGACCCACTTCAAAACGTCGGATTGAATTGAAACTTCGCACACTCCATCAAGGACCGATGACAGTACCATAATTTAATAATTTGTCCGGTTATCCTAATCAGGATCTTCAGGATTAACTTCTTTTTGGATATCTAAAAATACCGTAGTGTCTTGTGCCACGTACTAAGGCGTGTACTGAAGCATATGTGACACACTTAGTTGTTACTTCTTTGGTCTTTAATGAGAAAAAATAATTATTAATCAATAAAAGCATAATTTAAAAAAAACACGCTTTTGTACTAGCCGAACTAAAAAGTAGAAAACAATTATCTAGTTCCAAAATAAATAATCATGTCTTCGTAAAAAGCGTAGAGTGCGGAAAGCACTCTACACTTTTTACGAAGACATGATTATTGACGTGACAACGTCTTATAAATTGGTTTGCCGGGTGACACTTCAAGAAACTGCGTTACGCTCCGCTCACGTTATGCGCTCACAATGAGAGCGAGTGAGAGGCACGCGTCCCTTCCAATCGGGCATGGTTAGCCCGCCTAAGAGCGAGAGAGACAGACATAGTCGTTGTCACGTAAAACTTTCGCCCGTATACCGACTTTACAGGCAACCAATTTTTTTTTATTTATTTATTTAAGGATCTTCAACAAGAATATCACATAGCATTCACAGAGAATAATAAATTATTGATCTGGTGTATACTTAATTACAGAAGATCACAGCCTGCATTAAGAGTCAAACATAACATTTTGAATCAGAAATTACTATTACACAAATTAGAAGTAAATAAATTAATGAAATGATTAAATTACTGTTAAATTCATTAAGTCAATACAAACAATAATAACATTGCAAAAGTTAACTACTGATAATATGGTTAATAATTAAATAGTCAACAATATAAGATTATATACAGTTACATTGATAATAAATAATTAAATCAAATAAATTTATATTAAATTGATGTCAGCTCTTTATTGATAAGGAATTTAAAATGTCCTATAGTATTACTGAAGATGTCTATATCATTAGATCTATTTGAAGCTTCATTAAAGTGGTTAGTCATTCTAATTATTGGAGAGTGTTTACCAAGATTTGTGCGACAGCGGGGAGCTTTGAGCAGTGAACCCGGATAGCGAGGTAACCTGCTAGGTACATTAATATAGAATTTGCTCAGGAGACTTGGACAGTCAATCCCATTATTGAATAACTTGTATATGAACATTATGTCAGAAACCTTGCGGCGGGCTTCAAGGGATGCGAGCCTGAAGTAGCTAAGTCTGCCAGAATATGACCTTATTGAGTTCAAAACTTTATTTCTGAAGGCCAAGTGATATACAAGTCTTTCTTGTATCTTTTCAATTCTTGTAGTGTGCACCTGGTATGTCGGGTTCCATACAACACTACAATATTCAAGCCTGCTTCGCACGAAACTATTATACAAAAGTATTGTTGTGGATGGGTGCCCAAATTCTTTAGAATTTCTCAGAACAAATCCAAGAGCCTTATAAGCACTGGTTAAAGTTTTATCAATATGTTGTGCGAACCGCAATTGACTGTCCAAATATACGCCCAGATCCCTGATAGTATTGACCTCGATCAGAACCTTATTATCTATTTTGTAAGATGATTTTATGTTATTACGTTTTCTACTAAATTTTATATGACTGCATTTTGATCCATTTAAGTACATTTTATTTTGATCACACCAGTGATTCAATCGGTCTATGTCTTCCTGCAATAGAGTTACATCGCTTTCGTTTTTGATTATTCGAATTGTTTTCAAATCGTCTGCGAAAAGGTATACCGAATGTTTAAATACAGATGGTATGTCATTTATAAAAACATTAAAGAACAATGGCCCTAAATTGGAGCCTTGGGGTACGCCAGACGTTACAACAAATGGCTCAGACTCTTCCCCGTCCACAGCTACTGATGATGATCTAGAATCCAAATACGATCGACACCAATCCAGACCATCGCCCGCAATACCCATCAATTCCAACTTACCCACCAGTATTTAATGATTAACCTTGTCGAAGGCCTTTGAAATATCAGTATATATTGCATCTATCTGCAGACCCTGATCTACTGCGGCTACTAGATCAGTGACATAATCAACAAGATTAGTGTTTGTCGATTTTTTCACCGTAAAACCGTGCTGACTGGGAGACAGACAGCGTTTAATGTGGTTGTAAAATACTGGATATACAATCGATTCAAAAACCTTCGACAAGGCTGAGAGAATTGAAATAGGACGATAATTAACAATTTGGTTACGTGCGCCGCTTTTGTGTATGGGTACAATTCTAGCCTTCTTCCAGATATAAGGAAATGTGCCCAGCTTTAACGAAGTATTGTAGATAATTGCCAGTGGCGCTGATAAACAGCGTGCGCAACGGGAAAAGAAAAGCGGCGGAATATTATCGGGACCAGCACCCTTTGATAGATCAAACTGAGATAGCCTCTTATATACATCATCAGATGATATTGAGAACTCACTTAATACCGGTATATGAAAATTAAATAAGCTTTTACGACATGGTAATTCATCACGTCTAAAGTCTTCTATAGGGTCATAAACAGAACCAAAGTGCTCCGCAAACAAATTAGAAACTTCTTTGGGATTATTAGCAAAGACATCACCGTAGTTCATAGTGGATGGGTATTTGGACTCCACGCTTTTTCGCAGATTTTTCATGTAAGTCCAAAAATACTTAGGATGCTTTTTGATTGCATGTTCCATTTTTGTTATGTATGATTTATGACATTGTTTCTTCAGTTGTGTGACCGACTGAAGAAACAATGTCATAATCTTTCCTTAAGTAATTAAATTCTATGATATCTAAAGGATTTTCATATTTTTTAATCTTTCTATTTAATTTCAGTTTTTGTTTTAAAAGTTTATTTAGTTCATGAGAATACCAAATGGGGTATTTGCCCCGAGAGTAATTATTTTTAGGAACATATCTCTCAATAGCATCCCTAATAATGGCATAAAATCCGTCAACCATAGTATCAACATCAGCGTATGAACCCAAAGCATTGCTCCAATTAACCGTGTTAAGTGATTCCACGATCGCGTCATAGTTGTATTTTTTAACAAGTCTCGGTTTCGTTTTATCACTAATGGGTAAGACGGGTTCAATGTCCAGGGCTGGGTGATACTTGTCAATTTTCCTAAGTGGAAACAAACATTCACTGATTTGTATTTGATCAATATTAGATAATATTAAGTCAAGGGTCTTGTTTTTGAAATTTTTAATATTATTAAATTGTCTAAGATTATTAAGAGTAATAAAGTCTGATATAAGTTCTTTGAGGCGACCAGAGCTGCCCTCGGATACCATTGATCCACTTTCTGGACATTGTTGGAATTCCCATTCAACGGAACTCATGTTGTTACTATCTGCCTCCATTACTGTGTTGCAGTTTTCCAGGAAAATTTCGCACATGTTACTATTTACGGGGGGTGATAAATAGACAGCACACACTCTTAAAGATATGCTTCTACTGTTGGTTCGGGATTGTAAGTGTATAACCAACCACAAATCTTCGTAAACGCTCTCCCATTCACATACACGATTGGATTTGAATTTATTTGAAATTGCTATTAAAACACCTCCTCCTGAATTTTTGTGGGGAGAATAACTAGAGGTCTCCCGGTCTCTTCTGTAAACTGCAAACGTATTGTCAAATATTTCCGAACTAAATATGCCATCGCACAGCCAGGTTTCAGTAAGGATATAGACATCGTATACATTATTATTTATTTGTTGACGTACTTCACTTATGTTACTGCGCAGTCCTCTAACATTCTGGTAATATATATTAATACAATCGAATCCTAAAGATATGTAGCAAGTTATAGGACCTTAATTTGAACACCGGTTTATACAAGTAACTTCAATTTGTCAAGATTATTTACAGTTATTGTTTCCGAGGTGGCATCTTTTTTCATTAGAATTCTGCCATTTCGAACCCAAATAAATTTATAACCTATCTCTTTTGAACGAATGCGCGCAGCTGCATGAATTGCTTTATTTTCCGCAGTGAGATGATCTACAACGAATATAGGTAGTGGTTTGTCAGTCGCAATTCCTAGATGACTTGTGTTCAGTTTTGCGTCTATAGCCTTATTATTGTTGAACTTTATAGCAGCGGCAAGAAAGTTATCGCGCAATCGAGGAGTGACAAATTTTACGAGAATAGTTCTCGGTCTTTTACTTTGAGGGTCTTTTTTGGCGATCCTCGTACAATTCGCTATGTCACTGTCCTTCACATCGCAATTAATCACTTTACCAAGCTGATGTATGGCAGTCAGAAGGTTTTCGGATCGATGTTCTGGTACGCATTGCAGTTCAATATTATTAGCTCGAGCGTGCTGTTCCATCACATTCATGCGGCTGGTGATATTATGGACGGAACCGCGAAGCATGGCGTTTTCTTTTTCTAGGTTTTGGATCTGTGTAGTTCTTTCCAATAAAATATTTTTCATGTCTTCGTATTGATTGTCGAAAAATGATAAAGATTGTTGAAAACCGGAAATAATGTCGTTGATTCTACTAACTTGTTCGTTGATTAGTTTTTGAACAGTAACCTGTAAGGCACGATCAAACTCGTGCCTAATCATCTCTCTCAGAGTGTTACTATTAATCTCCGTGAGTAGTATATTGCAGTCCTTTTTTTTTTTTTTTTTTTTTTTTTTTTTCCGTGCGGAAATCCCCTCGGATACCACCTGTCGGTGGCATGTCGGACTCGAACCGACTAAAACCGCACGCCTTCGCCGGGTACTAATAGCCGGGGAACCAGGTATACCCTAGAAAGGAAGGCCCTGGAGAAAGGAAGGCCCTGGAGTATATTGCAGTCCTGACCGGATGCTAGTTGTTTCGGCTGCTTGCTACGCAAAGTTACGTTGGTGTCGGTGGGCGAGGTCTTACGATGTTGTTTTGTAGGGCTATCTAGCCGAGTAGGTCGAACGAGTGTATTGGTGTTGTCACCTTTAGGTAGTTTGTTTAGACACTCGGGACATTTCCATGTACTTTTGCTGTCCGTATTCATTGCTTTAAAACGCCTTTCTGTTACGTTTACACACAGCAAATCATACCAATTGTGACAAATATTGCATTGTAAGCCTTCTTTACTTTTAAAAGTATTCGTACAACCAGCGCAAGTCTTTGTTGACATGGTTTGCAATTATTACATTCGAGAAACTCAAGTAGGTATAAAGCGCTTTAAGTGATGTAGTAATGTAGCTGATATCTTTGGTGGTGATTGAAATAAATAAAGCGCAATAGATACCTGAATCTAGCCGTTGTGAGATGTCGCGGCCAAAAGGTCGTAAGCGCCGTGCCACGGTACAATTATAATACAGTACTCCAACTTCATACAAACGGACGAAACGCGAGCTATACCTACGCGCCTCGATCTCGGGGTGCGCTCGGGGCGCAGACAGTCACGGCTGTACCGAAGTGTCGAACGGACGGTGTGTTGTTTTTTTTAACAATAACCGCGCGATTTTTTTTTCTCTAAAAATCAGTTAATATGACGAGAAGGAAATATTGTGCTGTTTTTGGTTGTATGAATTCGTCAATAACGCATCCAGACATAAGGTTTTTTTAAATTACCTGGAAACTCTAAAGGAAAGAGGGAAAGGTAAGACTATAAAGTAATTTTACTTACTAGTAGGTAGGTACATAATGTGTGTCTTTTTTTATGGATAAGTATTTCCTTTTATCTTACGAAAAAAAAGGTGTTTGAATTAATTAATAAAGCGAATAGAGTAACGGAAAGTTATTGAGACGAGTGAAATAGGTAGTTATATGAGGTTCTGAATGAATCGTGATACGGTAGGTACCTACCTACTTACGCTTGTGTTAAAACTTCGGTGCATGTGTGTTTTGTTACTTTGCATAATTCAAAGTAAAGACGTGGTATTTTATTTTATAATAATATTTGTTTATTATCTGTGTGTATGAATAATACTAGAAAAAAAAAATTACCGTCTGTGTGTCATTAGATAGTTTTCGAAATTTTCACAAAGTGTTAATAACAACATATACCACTAAAAACTCCTCCAATGCAGAAAGAAAATAAAATAATTAAATCTACCAATCAAAAAACAACACGCATTTTTATTGAACACTTCCTATTCAATATACAAAGTATTTCATTTATTTATATAAAAAGGATATTTACAATCACAAATCTAAATAGAAACAGAAAGTAGGCAAATATAATTAAAATGCTGGAGACGGGCAGCCCTAACGCATGTTTACGTACCGCGCGACTGTAGGCATTTATTTCTATCATGCGGCCGAGTTACACTACTGTATTATAATAGTACCGTGGCCGTGCAGTGGATGTCGCTTACGCGTTCCGGCCGACAAAGCTTCTTTGTCACTGATTCATTCGGGATTTTTAACGAACTTTTGATTAATTGTTTATTTATTGTTTTTGTCAGTTTATTATTATTCAATTATCAGTACTCTGCACTCAGAATGACGTATTACAACTATGTTGAAGAAATAACACTCAACTTTGCACTATAAACTCACTTATGTGTAACATTTCAAGAGCAAACAAAACAAATCTGTTGACTTGACGGCGGTCGGATATTTAATGATATAACGTAGACTGTTATTATTATTTTATATTATTATTATTTTGTTATAGAATAAGTTTATCTTTACTAATAACTGTTAATAAACTACTTAAAACACGACATCTAGCACCCCGACGCATTTTTATGAAAAAATGATTTTTCTTTTTCAACTAACACAAAAGTATTTTCTTGTTTTTGGTTCGGCTAGTACAAAAGCATGTTTTTTAAACCATAACTTATTATAATAGGTCTTTACCTATAAAATTGCCGTTTTGTATGCAATAAGTGAAAGTACTTATTTTTTCAAACTTTTTTATTTCTGTTATTCGAAGTAATCACCCATGCAATCGACGCATCTTTGTCAACGCATTGGCAGTTTATTGATGCCCTTCTTGTAAAAATCAGCTGGACGGGAGGCAACAAACTCTTCAAAGGCATTTCGTACTGCCTCTCGGGAATTGAATTTTTTACCCACTAAAAAGTTGTCTAAATTTTGGAAAAAGTAATAGTCGGTAGGTGCTTGCCGGTAGACCTTGCACCTACCGACTATTACTTTTTCCAAAATTTACTTCGAATAACAGAAATAAAAAAGTTTGAAAAAATAAGTACTTTCACTTATTGCATACAAAACGGCAATTTCATAGGTAAAGACCTAATATCAGTAAATACTTAGTTACCCTAGATACATTAAATTTACATGTCACCATTATACCGAAGTCTCTCAATGTTTGAAATGATGAATGAACTGTTGTTTTAAATTCATCTAGTTAACCTTTTTTTTAACGTGTGGAAACCCCCTCGGGCCGTCAACCCACGGGGTTCGCGGCGTGCTAGTGTGTCGGAATTTGACCGACTAAAACCACACGGTGTGCCACTCTGCGGCTGTAATAGAAGGGATCCGGGAACTGCTGTTATTAAGACATCCGGACCCCTCCTAACGCCTGCCCGTAACAGCGCGGGAATCACCTTCGGGTACATTCTCTGTTTAGGCGACGTCCGGCACACGCGGACTTAGCCTCCTCGCGGCTGGCCGTTATGGCGGGTGGAGGGGAAAAATCCGTCCGTCCACCCGCGGCTACATCCAGGGCGGCAAGAGGCGGTGGTAAGCGCGCCTCCGCCGCCCGGTTTGCCGGCGACGAATTGGGTCCTAGTTGAGGTTGTCCTCCCGGGCCCTCTCCGCCGCCTCTGACGTCTTCTAAGAAGGATGCGACCGCAGTTTACCAAGTTAAGCTAGTTTTAGTTGACTGTAACTGATGTTACATTGCAAAATACCTTTTTTTATTAGGTTTTCAACAAACATTTAGTTAGATTCTAGTAGGAGCCAGTAGTTATCGCTGTCAGAGATCGCCTCTTCTCCTCAGCCAACAAATTGAGTTTTTTACATCATAACTAAGTATATGTTTGATTACAGCAGCCAGGCCATTTGCGTATTCTATACGCATTCTACGTAGAAGGCGCTATGATGTTGCTAGCATGTGCAGTTGTAACCTTTCGCCGGTACAGCACCCCCAACATCCTCTGGGCATCGCAGAAGTACAGATTATTTACTACTGAGGAATAAAACAGTATCCTGAGACATATTCTGCTATTTATATTATATATTCTGGTATATTTAGATATTCAAATAAGAGTTAGGAGTCTCAACTTAGATTTTTGTGTTAGTTCATTTCTATCACCATCATTATCCACAGCCTTGTATCCTTTCTGTACTTATAATAATTAAACTCATTTAGTGCTCTGATTCTGAAAGATACTTACTCCATCTCGCCTTTATTTATTGAACATTTACGAAAATGTCATTATCATCATCAACAACAGCCTTCAATAGTCCACTGCTGTACATAGGCCTCTCTTTAGAAAGTAGGTTTTGGCCTACCATACCACGCTGAATAGACGGGTTGGTATAGGGTTTGTTTCAAGTTTTCATTCTCTTTGCAATGCTGTTGTCCTGCGTAGTTTGCTGCTGTTGATGAGAAATTTCATGGGTCGAGTCCATGAAATTTCCACATGAACATATGTCCATATTTGATAAAAACCGGTATAACCATTACAATTACCATAGCTTTTATTATTAGGTGTGAATATAGGGGTACACAAAGACGTTTCAGTTGAAATGTATAGATGGGAAATGGAAATCTATTTTTTTTTGCAGCAAATTAAATTTTTGCTGCATTTCGTATTTTGTTTATTTTCAATTTGTTTATTTTTCGTTGAATTTGATTTTGTTGGTGTAAGTATGTAAATGTGAGTATAGTGTGGGCTTGTAATGTTGGTTCATATTTTTAGTAACTTTTTGATGGTTTTGAGTGTTTTCACGGCCTACCCAAATGTCCTGCTGGATGGCGGTAGGGTCCTGCTTCGCGTCGTCGATCTTGCCTAATATCGGTTACGCTACACGATGGCTGGGGCCCCTTTGTCGACTGTATGGACAAGCCGACTCAAAACTGCGGTCCTTTCTTGAAAAGGCCTACCCTATAGATGTAAAACAACCGATTTAAAACGTTTTAAATATAATGTTGCGTTTCAACCCCCAAATAAATCGTTTTAAACGGTTGAAAACTCGCCTTCAAGAATAAAAGAACTGTGTTTTACACTTTATTGTGGGCAATTTTATTTGGTCACCTGACGTCATGTTTCGTTTTAATTAGTTTATAGAAAATCAATAGAAAGGCGAATACCTACCTACATTACTTACTACACGAAAACTTAAGTATTTAGGTATACCTACCTATACTTATTTATTATATTATATTACACACACTAGGTTCTAACCTAATGAAGACATCATTTACACAATGCCGCCCTTTTTACTTGCGCATGAAAGAGACATGTTATGTCTTCAAGGCCGTCGCTCCAGTGCCGACGGTGTCAACGAGAGTGCAAGAGTGTGAGTTTGGTTTTAAACCGAATCAAATTGATTATTTATATCGTTTGAAAACAATGAAAAAAAAAGTTTATTTACCAACACAGTTTTAAAGTTATCAATAGAGTTTTTATAACTAAGGTATTTAATACGACGGATCAACTAGAACTAAACCTGCTAAGTATATCAATATCAGTATATCACACATATAAAAATCTTTACAGTTTATAGGTACTCCGTCATATCCCTACCCCGGTAAAATCAAGAAAATGTAGATGTAATTAAGAAAAACATAGTCATCAACACCAACCGGTTTTAATAGAAAAAAATGGTTTACTTCAGTTTTAAACGGTTTTTTCGTTTTTAACAAATCGGTTTAATTGGTTTTAAACCGGCCTTACATCTATAGGCTACCCACACCCTATAATGTACTCTGTTTTCTTTAACCTTACTTAAGGACTAAAAGAAAGACACCTCTGTTATTTGTTTCATGTTAAATATCATTTATAAAACTATATCCGCATATTATAATAAATCAACTACGACTGGTTTGTGCATAGGCTACCACAAACTTTCCTAAAGATTCAACGCTTTATTTCCGGTTTAGCATTACATTAATTTAGTAGTATATACCTTTTTGTAACATCTGTATAAATGGTTATCTATATAATAAGCAATATTGAACTTGGCTAAAGGTAGTTATGTGAATAGGAACTGTTTGTATATTTAGCAGTTAAGGATTTTATCGCAGTTTTATCTATCAACAAAAATAGGCTCAATATAAATAAAACACCATATATAACTCTTCGTTCTTTTATTTACCTACCATTTCCTACACACTAATCAACGGCTATATACAGCATCTTTGATTATAATTAATGGCGAAATGTCCAATTAAACATGAAATTTTCATATTCAGTTAACTAGCTATATTCTCAAAGACGAAATAATAGAGTACTACATGTATCACAGAATCGTATAATGAAACATACGAATTAAGAAAAACCTACTTTTGGTAAAATCAAGAAAAAGTAAAGGAACTCTTTGAAGATGAAAACATTTCATAATTTAAATACACGAACAATTTGACTATATCGTGGAACACTGCTAAACGCACAATTTTTTGTACAACGAAGATTGCCTTTCAGATTAGTATTAAAAGAAAACAATTCGAAACAAAGGAATGCCGGTTTAAAATAGGTATTGGTTATTACATGTATTATAAATGAGATAAATTCTATAATTATAACATTTTACTTTAAATCTACCAGGAAATATATATTGGAAAATCCACGACACGAAAGCACACATGTGAAGTTATGATATAACATTGTCCTGCGGATAAAGGACCTGGACCAAAGAATTCTAAACTTTATTAACATGACTGAAATAATTTAACTGCCGCAACTAACAAGCCAAGAACAAGTAGTTTAGGAAGTACATACACGAACTGCGGCAATATTTTTTGCTAATTAGCTGTATTCGCCAGCTTTTACGAGCTAATTTAGCTTCTTTCATTTCATTCAGTGTGTATTAAAAAACTTGTAATCTATCCCTTGCTTCTTTTAGATTGTTCAAGCGGTTCCTCATCGGCTGTCCCTTCGATAGATTTCTTCTCTTTAAGTGCTTCTTTGACAGAATCGACCAGGTGGTGCGGCTCAGCTACTGACACTTTCTTACCTGTGAATTACAATAATAATACCTTGAGACATCGTAAACTAAGCACAGTCTCTACTATAGCAACCTCACTACTGCACACATATTAATGTTATAGATAACTTAGAACCAAAAACAGAATAAAGAAATGATCGTGCTCATCACACAATAATTTGCCGTCTTTTATTTAATAATAATTAATTTCTATAACAACACACAGTGACTGAGGAGCGACTTTCATAAGTGTCGCTCCTCAATCGCTCAATCGCTAGTCACCACTGATTAATATGTTGGTATAATTATCACGAATAATATCGATAAAAACCCTTGCACTGCTCCCCGGTTAACAGAGTACAATGATGATCCGAATGAGTAGAACTCGTAGAAACGATTTGGTAGCGCTTTTTAACATGCGGCTATAGTAGGCAGCTACAATAAAAATCTAATTACATTGTACACATACCCAATACACCAGAACAACTTTGCCTAAGTGAATTACACTACTGAGTAATTATATATATGTACTATGTATATACGATGTATGTATATATACGGTGATTTTTTAGGCGTTTTGGAAACGAAACATTTTAATTTGGAATCATCTATAGTACCAATAAAAATGATTAAAGCAATTGTAATGTTGTCTAAAAAAAGTTTCAGTTTTAATATTCATTTTTACTCGATCGACTTGGAAAGTAGTAATGGACTGATCATTCATTCATTATCTTATATAAATGAAACACGTCCGTGGGCGTTTCGGCGGCCGCTGCGCACCGCCGACGCTAACAGCAGCTGATAAAAGTATACCTATAGGCGCGAGCTAGCGAGTACTTACGTAGATAGACTCCAATTTGTCCTTCATACTTTACACGGGCTTAGGATCGTCGGAAATACCTATTTTATTTAAACTTCTTTTCGATTATTAACCACGATTGTTCTTTTCACAACAAATCAATTTATCAACGGACTGTAGGTATTAATATTTCAAGCGTATTTAAAATCGGAGCTATCTACAGAATTATTAACTTACATACCTATTTACATTATTTACACTTCTCTGTATCGAAGCAACTGCTCAAAATGGAGTCCGCTGCATTCAATACACAAACGTCCACGTTTAATGCAATTGTTTTTAAATTTTCTTAATGTGTCTCTATCACTTTTCACTTTATGCGTAATGCGTAAATTATCACGGCTTTCATATTCCCGTGTATAAACAAGTATTTTTATTTCCGACCATAAGAAAAAATCCAGGGGCGTTAAGTCCGGGCTTCTAGGTGGCCAAGGCACTGGCCCTCCTCGACCTATCCACCGATCACTAAACTCATTGTCCAGGTATGCACGCACTACACTCCGGCGAATAATAATTTAAACGTCCTTGACCTTGCGCGTGAGTATAGTATTTCTATTCGTAGTATTTACCTACTTGCGATTGAAAAGCCCTACTACTGGTTCTCACCTTTTCTCTGAAATCGATATGAATATCGACTTTGATGATAAAAAATATATATATTATATTAAATTAACGTTATATATAGCTTCTGTTACTGATAAATAACTCAAAATTTTCTTTTCCAAAACGCTTTCAAAATCACCGTGTATATGTACTATGTATATACTATGTATGTATATATATATATATGTACATATATATTGATATGTACTATGTATAATAAATTAATGAGCTCTCTGCGATAGTGCCTAATCACCAAATATACTTTTCTTTACTTAAATTAAGCTTTATTGATGAAATCATAGTTCCTAGGCAACCATGAGACCCATTCTATTTTCTTTTTTAGTCCATTGTTTTAATACATGTAAATGCAAAATTAGAAACAGTATGCCGCTTTTTTTTTTAAATACTGTAATTACACAAAGCTACCTTATGTAACTCAAAGACATTTACATAAACTATTGTATCTACAAAGTTTTCATTTAAAAATCCGCTAAAAGTGTTTCTAAATAAAAGAAGCTACGGCTACGTAATAAAAGTAAAAATGTCTGAGCTCACTAGGCTCCCAGGTGTATACTTAAAAAGGTCCTTTATTTTTATATTGTTTTACCTAGAACAATAACATTGCGTTAATTTCCGTTTTTAAAATCAACTGTCTCGACGGGATACGAATTTTTTTTAACGGTCTCACACACCTTTCGTCATTTGCAACATTATTATATCACATTTTTGCCTTTTCCTAATTTTTGAGTCGTTGCAATGTTTAACACTGCAAAATAAATGTTGTCTGATTTCCATCATAGCCAATTAATGAGCCTATTTGAACTAATCTCCTTAAGAATAGTCATTTTCAGGTGGGACAATAGAATAAAGTAACTGGGGGTAAAAAAACAAGCTAGGGTAAGACTTCCCATCAAGTCTTCGATGGGAGTCTGAGACTTTAATAGCTCGAAGAAGCCGTGTCCGTTTAGTTTTACTGTTCTGAAGGTATATTATGAACAGCTTTGTTTCTCTGTTTGACAAAACAAAACCGAAAGGTCACCAGTATTAGGTTCACTGTCACTGTCTCTTTTCAGAGAGGTTTAACATAGATCTCAGATTCAGGATAAACTAACTGTAGCACTAAGCACCCGCAGACGTAAACGATAGCTTTGCGAGGCTGTTGTCACAACTTCTATTGGCAACAGATCGGGTACTCAAATAATAATGGGTTTTAGACGACTCATGTCTAATAGACGACTCGTTTATTAGACTCATATTTAACGGACGACTCATTTATTCGACCCATATCTAACAGAGAACTTATTTATTTGACTCAAATCTAAGAAACTACACATTTATTCGGCTCATTTCTAAAAGACAACTCATTTCTTCAAATCAAATCCAACAAACGACTCGTTTATTCGGCTCATCTCAACAGAGGTTCATTTATTCGACTCATATCTAACAGACAACTCATATCTAAAATTATCAATCACCTTGATATATCAAAATTAGACTTGCAACGAATATTCGGTTACTATTCGGTATTCGGCCTATTCGGCTGCTTTTATTATATTCGGCCGAATACCGAATATCTACATATTATTCGGCCGAATACCGAATACTTAAATAATATATTTTGTCATTGAGAAATAATTGGTAAAATGAAAAATTAAAATCGATTGATTACGTATATATTCATATTTTCATTTCTGTTATAATCATTTAAGTAGTCATTGGTGCATAACACAGGTACATAATCATCTTCTGAATAGGAAAAATGGAGGATTCTATGTATTTGAATTATTGTGGTAATCAAAATTTAGAAGGGTAAGGTTCTCATTTCTTTTATAATTATTTATTAAGTAGTCATTGGTACATAAAACAGGTACATAATTTAATTCACGTCTGTACAAGTTTTTGGCGCTAAAATCCAGCCGAATACTTTTGCCTAATATTCGGCTATTCGGTCAGGGGCCTCGCCGAATATTCGGTATTCGGTATACTGCCGAATATACTATTCGTTGCAAGTCTAATCAAAATCTTGTATTACATGTATTTCGTATGTATATTTGATTAGACGAATAGAATATTTTTTATAAGTGCGCTAATATGCAATAAAAATATCTATACCTGTGCATAACTTTTTCCAATCCAACGTGCTATAATATTTATATGCAATTTATATATCTTAAAAAAGATTTTCATGTACTTTTTATGCTCAGCAATTATAAAATTTTAAATAATTTCAATGAAGAATAAGCTAACTATGTAATGTATGAGCCTTTTTAATGTGACTTTATAATTTCTTAGGTTTTATATCCTAATTAGTATCTACCCCCATCCTGAACACATTTTGGATTATAGCATGATGGTTTGGTGTAGGAACCCAAAAGGTTTGAAATGAAACAACATAATTATTGAATTTCGTGTATTCATGAAACATTATATATTATTTACAATACCTTTGTAACGACTACCGTATGACCATCATACTATAATCAATAAGGACAGTAACTTCTTTTGCGTATGCATAGCAGACGAACTAGCTTATTAAAACAGGCTCCACTGTACGCAAAAAAAAATCACCAAGCCTTATAATGTATAAATATATAATTTGCAAGTGACTTTTATAAATACGAATTTTATATCATACATCAAACAAACCGTTAATCGTCAATACCCATCGACGCATTCTATGACTGCAAGCCGACTGCAAGGGCTTAAAAAGTTACGTTTGTCCCTATGATAAAAGCTACTGGTTATAAACATTTAGGAATTTAAATTTTTATATTTACTATGTAGTATTTATATTAACTCGCAATTTTCATCGTTTTGTTCGAATTATACATAGCACTTTTTTAAATATACTTTTCCTAAGTTAATTTCTGCACGAAGCTTTGCAAATGCTCACGACCAAGAGGAATTCGTACATTTACAATGCTATGGGAGACTATCTCCTAAGTTCTTCCATAATAAATAACAATGCCATAAATATAATTTAAAAATTAGAACTAACGTTTATATCACATACTAAATATTTCATATTTGGATTCGTCGTGGTTATTTTTATAAGGTGACATCTTTTTCTTTCACTCACTCACTCACTATAACTTACATTGTTCGTAAATGGCCATCTATATATATCTGAATTAACACACCATTATGAGAATAATTGGTGGACTAACAATATACAGTACATTCGACAATGAAGATGTAATCAGTCACAAAAGCAACACATTATCTCCTCAATTTCTCTTGAAATAAGGGTTCTAATTTTTTAGAAACGTGTTACAAAAGCTGTACACAGCTTCAGAAGCGCTTTTAAAAATTATACCCTCAATGTTGAATCAATTAAGGGCGTATTTAAAACAAAGTTGACGCACGAAAGGACTTGACAACTCCTAGTAAACACATAGTAACCAAAGTGTTATGTTTCAAACGTGATATTGAGATAGCACAATCTACTGTAATCATACTGGCATCGTATGCAATATTAAATATCAAAATTATACTATTAGAAAACTCTTTTTTTAAATGATAATTCTTAAAAATAAAAATAAATGAAGTTATATCTCTTGCAAACAAATATATTTAATGCACCTACATCATGATGATACAGAAGAATTGTAATATACTGAATTCCTCATCCTTTACCTTCCACCCGGGCTAGAATATCTTCTTCAAAGGAGGTGGATAAAGATCGGCTCATTTTTCGCCTATCATAGTCATGAAAATTCAAAGTATTTATTGAAGCCATGTTATTATATTTATGTAAAGTTATTGAAATTTAGATATATTCTAAAAAAGTAAGAACAAAATAGCCATGTATATAATAGTCATGTAAAAAGTCATTAAACTTCGCAAATTCGTTGAAATTTTGTTATTTTAAGCACTTTTTCTAACTTTCATTAATAAAAACTGTGAAGCGCTTTATGTACCACTATATTTTTTAGGCTGTCAAATTCTGCTTTAAATAGCCTTTTAAACTAACATTCATTTGTTTTGGTGCATCGAGCGCCTCGATGTCATACGCAGTAATGCTACTTCTAAGAGCTACTGTGTTCTCAGTTCTACTGGTTTACTTCTCTGTGTCTTACGATTAACAGAGAGAGCAGATGAGAGACTTCGGCGGGAAAGACGATACGAGCCCTATGTTTTCTGTCGGACGTAACACAACACTCCCTAAACCCAAAAGGGTTAGGGCCCTTCTTGGCAAGGGTCAGCAAGACGAAAATATTACAAATAATGACCAAGATAGCTTTGCTTTCATATGTATTTTGAGGATGATAGGATTTTTTTAAATTCTGAAATAGATGTTACATTTGCCAATGAGAAGTCGACATTGGTTACCATATGTTTACTGTATAGTTCTATAAAAATCTTGACTATTACATCACCCATTCGTTTTCGATACTGAACCTACAATATGTGTTTATTCACAGTCAATTGAACATTCACGCTTGGTACAACTCGGGCTTTTCTTCCTTTTCACGCTTCAAAGCTCTCTCATACCCTAAAGGTTTATCCATCTCCTGAGTCTCAATGTCCTCCAACCTATTTACAAACTCAAACACCCCATACTTGTCACTAGGATCATGATACATAGACATAAAAGAAAAGATAACAGTCATAAAAAAGCCATTAAAAAGTAGGTTCTGTTCTGTTTATAAGCGTCATTGAAACTTCCTAAGAGCGTCCACATTTTGGAATTACGTTTGACGTCATCGTTATCGCGGTTCGCCCTGTGAATATGTTCAGTACGGGTACCCTCCTTACCGCTATTTTTTGATTTGTCTGCAAAATAAATGTTCGGTCAGACCAAGGTCAGTTCTGGATATTAGACTTTATTGGAAGCCAAATATATGCAATTGGTAATATATATATAGAGTTGAAACCTTTAAAGGTCTATGTCAAAAGTCAATGATATAATACATAGAATGTGTATTAGACTTGCCTTCATTACTAATTTAGTTTTGATGATTAATTAAATAACATCTACTTTTGTGTTCAGAATTAATTTCTTACCATCTCTGTCATAGGAGACACCAAGTATTTGACCAGGTGTATCTTCTTCCATCTCCGCGTAAGCATAGATCAAAGCCCTCTGCTTGTCTGACAACGATTTTGGTACCTAACAGTAAAATTATATGTTTTAGTAATACTTTTAACTGCTATAAACATTGTCTAAATATAAATTAATTAAGAGAAAACAGTGGACTGTCATTGATTTTTTGTTTTTCAACTGACTTTTTTTTTCATAGTAGCTATGAAGTAGCTTTTTTGTTCCCAGAAAAAAATAATGAAGGAATTTGAATAAATAACATATGAGGCACTTTTAGTCTTTAATAGTTAAATGATTTGGGTTGGATACTCTGGACGAGAACTACATTTTATAAATGAGTACATTAGCCAGCCTAGTTAATTATTCTTTGCTTTCCATAAAAACATTGAACATCTGATATACTAATTGAATAAAAAATTAAACTTTTAACTTTTGTAGAAGTTTGATTAAACTTGAGTGGAGAAGTCAGTTATTTGAAATTGCTCATAAGAATTAAGTAACAAAGTTATTTAAACATAATTTACACAAACCTGTATTTTGATGTGCACATAATGGTCCCCATAACCAGTGTGACTGACTCGTTTCATGCCTTTCCGTGACAAACGTACGACGGCATGCGAGGAAGTGCCTGGCATTATCTGGAAATGCAATATGCACTATGATTAAACACATGTTCTTTAAGATAACTGTAGGTATATAATTTTATTCCCTAACATTTTAACTATAAAGATTTCAAAATATATTCGAGGCAAATCCAGCCATAAATATTCTACTTAAAAGTTTTAAAACAACAAGAAATTACGACATTCTTGTACAATAAGTCGAAAAAGGTCTTAATTGTCATATTTCTATTATTAGTACCTATGTAAACATAATTTGTTGACATTCATTTTAACAATGCACTAACAATGTATACATGATTTTGGCATTAATTAGTGCATTTTCAAGCCAACTGAACTTTGAACCAAATTAATAATGTTTGTAGTCATAGACATTAGGTAGTACCTAAGCAAACAAGGTTATCTGAATGTTTTCTTCTTTAGAAATTTGATAGTATTAAGTTATTCCATGTGACGATGTGTCAACTTATTTACCCGTTTTAAAAAATCAGATTAGTAGTAGTAAAAATCAGTTCTGGGTTCTAAAGATGAGGGAGAATCTCTAGTTGAGGATGGGAATTTATTAACTATTGGTCTTGGTAATAAACTATTCTCAACTAGAGATTCATAGAGATATCGCTTTTATCTACAATAGTTTATGGTATAAGAAACCAGATTAACCTGCAATGTGTGATCTTCATATAAGCCTTGTATCCTGACTGAGCCGCCTAGCATCGCTTGGGCCACAGAAATCTGCAATATAAAACAGTCTTGTTAATACAGAAATACGCACAATCGCACACTGAACATTAATGTTTCTTAGAATGCAGAAAAAACACATTTCGCAAGAACAGCTCTAAAATGAAAATATATAATGTGGCTGGATATTGTTCTACTGGACTGTCTAAACTGCTTTTTGTTCAGACCATTGGGTCTGAATCGATAAGCAGTTTACATAGCCCCTACACTCTACAGTGACTAGGTTCCATCTAGGACTAGGTGTCTAGGTAGTCATCAAGGTAGTCTACTATATCTTCATGTTTTTAAATATTTTTTTTGTTATGATGTATTAATGCATATAAAGAAATAACAATACACATCCTTGTAAACAAGAAGACAGAGTTTAATAAGTTACAAAGGTGATTTTTAAAATTGACAGCCTTTTTGCTCTATAACATTAACAATATATTTAGTATTTCTCTCAGAATTATCAATAGTAATCAATTTATGGTTTGGGGATTAAGCTTATCATTTTGACTATCAAAATATATACTTACACTACAATCTGTGTGAACATCAGGTCCGTCTCTGCGGAAGTAGTTAGACTTTTCCACTTTAAATGTGACAAAGACCTCACTGTTACCAACAGACATGCGAACGGTCTGGCCGTCTTCTACGCCTGCTGGTACTGGCACTGTCACTTTTTTTCGCTGTACCTTTAAAAATAATTTTATGTATTCAGCATTATGTATAAAGACCATGGTGAACATAGTCTGAGCTATTAAATACAAATCAGATTTTTTTACTAGGAGTGCCAGAGTTAGTTCATTTAACCAAAGTATTCCGGTTTATAACATATTGCGATATAATGTGGCTTCCTTAGACCAAAGCAGGAATATTTTTGCAAAATATAATAACCATATTTAATCTTTAGTTTAGTCTTGAATTAAATACACAATTTCTTTGCAGAGATTTTAACCTAAAAATGTATTGCATCCTCCTAAAAAACCAAAAAATGTAACACAATTACTAATATTTTATATGGTTGTAATCCAGTTGATTGCACTGTCTTAAAGTTACTGCATGTTTTCATTCTTAACTAACTAAAAACTAACTAAAAAAAAAAAATTAACTGATGATAATATTACTACCTACTGAAAAAACAGAATTCATTTAAAGTACTTACTGATGAGCCTTTACCCTCACATTCCTCGCAAGGGAACTTTATGTGCATTCTAGTTCCGTGGCAGTGTCTGCAAGTTGAACGCATCACAAATGGACCTGCAATACACATTCAAAACTAAATTAACAGGATAACCATTAAAAAGATAGCAGTTAAGTAAAAGTTGCTTAAGTTTCACAACTCGAACACTGCTATGAATTTTTATGTTTAGATACTTCTTTCATGGCGTTTGGTGGATAAACTTCTATGTAATTAATGTGACGTCCATTACTTACGTACACTTATTTCTTCATATTCTTGTTAATTTGTGGTACTGGTAATGTTTATGTTATATGTGGCTTCACAAATTAATCAAAATAAATTATAGAGTATACTGTGCAGGGCTGTTCCACTGCTATGCCTCATATTACTCTCTATTATAAAGACACAAAAATTAATTGAAACTAACCTCGAGAAAATGTTTCCATCCCTGTACCATTACAATAGGGACACTTAATTGCTTTGGTGCCAAGTTCGCAACGGGATCCAGAGCATTTAGGACAAGTATCTACTACATTTAGGTTTACTTCTTTATTGACACCCCGAGCAGCTTCAGAAAACTTTAAGTTCATGACAACCTATAACAGACAGTTTTATTACTTCTAATTTATAATTAAGCAACAAATTACAAAAATAATATAATTGTTATAATGTATGACATAAATTCATTCCTTTAAAATGTTTTAGTTTATATCAATCATCATTTTATTCAAGGCAATATAAGGAGTCTAGAGTAAAATCTAGAAGTTGTGGCCAGTTAACTTACAATTGTTTGGCAAAATGTTTGATTACACATGTTAAGAAATATATTCAATATTACAAGTAAGATGTACATACAGTATCAAATTTGTGATAGTGCTTACCTCTTGAGCAGCTCCAAAACCAAATTTTGATTCAGCAAAGTCACTAAATGCATCACTTTTGAATCCTGCATCACCAAATATCTTTCGAAATAACTCCTCAGGATCAATAGTGGACTTATACTGCCATTGATGAGTGAAACCTTCGGCTCCTGAGGTCCCACCCATACCCATGTGATCTGATGTGGTTCCAAATGTGTCATATTGCTTTCGTTTACCCTCATCAGATAAAATCTACAAAGAAATAAATTTAGATTCAAATTAATTTTAGGTCATATTTTAATTTGTATCATGTTTTGTTTACTTAAGAGATATATATGTAGCATAGTAATAGTATGATTTGGTTATTTCAAATACTGAGTGCTCCTCACATACCTCATAAGCCTCAGACACTTCCTGGAACTTCCTAGAAGCTTCTGGATCAGATTTATTTGCATCAGGGTGGTACTGCTTTGCAAGTTGATAGTAAGCTTTCTTGATATCTTTGGCAGACGCATTCTTGGACACGCCAAGAACTTTGTAATAATCGGATTTATTCAAGTTCTGGGTCGTATGGATATATCGGTGCCTACCACCGACAGTATCTAAACGACGGAATAAAGTGAGGTTATATATTAAGCAATGTCAAAATTAAAAAAAATACAAAAACACTAGGTTTTTACAAAAGGAACGTATTGTTTTATTAGATAGTTTGTTAAGGTAAATTAATGTAATAAATAAAAACCAGTGATGTAATGAAAGCATGTCAAACTTACAATTATTACGGGCTAGAGAAGCAACTGATAAGATTGGTCCACTAACAAAATTATCACAGCTATTACACCCATGCACGAAACGATAGGAAGTTTTTACTACGTTATTTGTGAAAACTTTACTAAGGGTTTTTGGGTTTAAAAATCCTAAAACACTCCGGGTAGGAGCCATTTTGAAAAATAAATGACAGGTGACAGACGCAGGCATTCAGAAAGTCAGTGTTATTACTGTGCTCTGTGGTCAGTGTAAGTCAAGTGTCTAAGAGTAAAGTCAACATGAGCAACACATGTCGAAAGCGTATAATTATCAAGTAGGAATACATGAACGACAAATGAATCTAAAAATCTGGTCTAAAATCAATAGTATATAAAAGTTTAACCATAAAGCCTATTAACATTAGTAAACAAGAGTATAAATGAATAATAAGAAACTCATGTTACTATTACCATCAGTATGTTATTCATAAGTTTAGTATCATAACCTTTAGGGTTAATTTACAGCATTGAGATAAAAGAATAGAGCAAGCTATATCTACCTAGCCTTGTACCCTTTTTTTTTCCGTGCGGAAATCCCCTCGGATAGCACCTGTCGGTGGCATGTCGGACTCGAACCGACCAAAACCGCACGCCGTCTCGGGCACCAATAGCCGAGGAACCAGGTATACCCTAGAAAGGAAGTCCCTGGTGCACCTAGCCTTGTACCCTACAGTAATGTCAGGTGAGAGAGAGGAAGCTGACCTCTCTTGTTGTGTTTTTCTAATCAGGCGAAACCTCTTTATGGATCGGAGAGAGGCCCTCTCCGCAGGCTTGCGCCATTCTTCTATCTTTTATGATTTAGAGGCTCTATCTTGTTTTCTGGTAGCGGATAACATTTTGAAATAGTTTTAGAGAACTTTAAAGCTGAATAAATTGCACACTTAGATTTAGTCCTCCATTAAATACAACTCAAGCTCAAGAGTCACAAGTGCGATGCCGGCTTCTGAAAGCGAGAATTGGAGGGCAGGGTTTGTCGACCGATAACTTCACTCATTGTCTAAAATGCAACAAAAGAATTTATTGATACCGGTTTTTAAATGTTATTTAAGTTATTGTATTTTCCTATAAGAAAAAAAGTAAAAGCCCAATCTGTTTCACAACATTTTTTTACATACCAAATTATATACCGTTAAATACGCGATAGATAGCATTCTTCACTATTCAGACTTCAGTCTTCCTGCGAAAGAAGAGCAACTCGAATCGTCGATAGCCCTAATATCTCCGATCGGCTCGATCCCCTGGCGTTACGTAGAGATGTGGCTTCACTCTGCATTCTCTCTCCGATGGAGATGGAGAGTGCTCCTAGGCATTGTTAATACCAGCCGTAACTTTCTGCCGTCGTTCCACACGGCAAAATTTTCATCCTCATCACCTGGATAGTTGGCGCTTCACTACTGTGCGCTATTCGAGACACTTTTTGCCCCGCACAACCAATCTGTGGAACGGATTATCGTCTACGGTATTTCCGGACCGATACGACCTTCAAAATTTCAAGAAAAGAGCGTACTCCTTCCTAAAAGGCCAAGGACAGACGTTCATGGGCAGCGATGTTCACTTTTCATCAGGTGACCTGTCTGCTTGTCTGCCCCCTCTCAAATAAAAAAAAAGTACGCACGCTAGGGTATTCCGGAAGTTCATATTAAGCTCGTCAGCTAGCTCCAATACAGAAACTACAAAGCTACATTATTATTTCAATTTATCTAGATGGTGAATTCTATAGAAAGGATCATTAGTTATAAGTTGTAAAATGTTAATCGTTACTAGTTTGACATTTTTCATTGAGTGGAAGGATCATTTACACAATATTGCAAGAAACATTGAGAAGTTTTGAAACGTCTTTAAGGTCCAAAACTTCTCATTTTTTTTTAAATAATAAATTTAACACAGGTTTTAGCTCGTTCGCTTTTTTTTGCTTTAATTTATTTTATTTAGTTGTATGTTGTTCAATGTTTGTGTCATCATATAATTTTATTCGGGTTGTCTGGAATTAAAAGAAGTTTATTGGGTGCTGACAACACTATTTTCCTGGGCAACGGTAGGCAAGATGATTTATAAACAAAAAATGAGCTTACAAAATGCCAATTATTGTATTGAATTTTAAATAAAACTTAGGTCGTTTACAATTAAACTATAGTGCGTTCTAGTTAAATTCATATTCAATATAATTAACACGCTCAAAGATGGCATCAATGCGAGACCAAAAAATCGAGCAGCAAGTAAGTTCTAATATTTATCGTTTAAATTTGTGAAATAATAATTTTGTGTGGTGTGGTGGTTTTCTTAATAGTACGTAATAGCTTAATGTAATAGTTTTGTGGACCGTTAATTTTTAGCGCCAGTTAATGGAACAAAAAATGAAACAGAAACGCCAGAATTCCGGTATGGTCCAAGCTAATGACTTAAGGGTAGGATCAGCAAAACGTCCAATATCTGGCAGCCGATCCCGGGAGCTTCATGGTAAGTAAAGCTCAATACCTTCTTCTTAATTGGATTTTGTCAGTGTTTAGTTAACTATTGCATGGATTTTTATGTACATTTTCGTTATGCGCATTTTGTTTTCGTTTTATGACAGGCTACGATGGTCCGATGCAATATCTTATGTCACCAGTTAATCCAGACCAAGTCATACCCCTGCAAACAAATAGAATATCAACATATGATGGTAAGTAGCTGTTATGCTTATATTAATTTATTCAAGTCATCCTGCTTCCGTCTGTGCGTTTTCTGTCTCTATAAGTAGGCATGTGAATATAGGTGCTTAAAAAAATTACAATTATAACACCATACAGTGTATTAACTCCTCTCGTGCCGCTACAAATGAGAGGAGTTAATTAACAAAAATATTTTACTTATCATACTAATATGTATATTTTCCTAACTTTAAAAAAAATGTAAGTATGTTTTATAAAAACATACTTACATTTTTTTTAAAGTTATTTTAGGGATTATTTTAGAAAACAACAACAAATATCTGACTTCTCATAACTATGATATATTCATAAGTGTGGTTACAGTTGCAAAATCCCATGTTCGGTAAAACATTTTTTTATTGAAGTAGTTTTTAAGATATTGTGTACTTTAATTTACTCTATACTATTGTAGTAATAACAATATCTAGAAAATAATTCCTTTTTTTGCTAGCCAATAATCTATACTAATATTATAAAGCTGAAGAGTTTGTTTGTTTATTTGTTTGTTTGTTTGTTTGAACGCTCTAATCTCAGGAACTACTGGTCCGATTTGAAAAATTGGCTATATATCATCACGCTAAGACCTATAGGAGCGGAACACTAATGAAGAATGTTTCAAAAACGGAGAAAATTTATTACTATTGAGAGACGCAGACGAAGTTGCGCGGGTCAGCTAGTGTAATATATTTATAATGACAACCAGAAGTATTTAAACTGCTGCTAAACTTTAATATCAGCCTAAAATGATTATGTAATTTCAAGGACTGTAGATATGACAGTATTTTAAGTAAAATATTTACAAAGCTTTGATTATGAGAGCGGGTTTTATTTAATGTGACTCAAGTATTAAACATGACTCAAACATAGAATGGATGAGGCATAGTTATTGTACAAACACATTTATTATTCATTTAGAAATTCTACTTAAGTTTCTACATCGAGTTCTTTTGAATAGGCAAAGGTCACACTTTACATACTACACTCATTTTAATTATGAAATTGAAACACAAACAATTACATTTAGTTCGATTGTTAATAGGTAAGTGATTTGCCAAGGTTACATTTTATTGAAATTAAATAAATACCATACACAAAGAATAGTATTTAAAGTTTTATTTATGTTTTTAGTAAAATTAATTTATATATGACCAAATATTACATAATTTTTTAAACTTTCTTGAAGAACCTCTGAGAAAATTATTGCAGACGTGAAAAATGTTTTTTCCATAATCCCATGAATTGAATTGTATGATGTAATGTGCTCTGAGTCATACCTATGGAGGTCTCATTCTGTATATCTAATAAAACCTGTTGAGCATTTTGCAAAGAAGTCTGTACTCCTACAGTTAGTACTTTTGAAAACTTTAATGGAGTCCAGGAATCAAATAGCGAACCGTGAATAAAGTTTGCGCGAATTTATTTAGCTCAATTTTAATTGCCACATTCATGTTTTTTGCACTTTTATTATTTTTCCAACAATCCTGTTTCAAGATATATAAAACCACCTAAATCATATTGATAATAGGCTATGCTATGCAGTAGTAGCAGAACATAATACCATTATTTTTTCGGAAATGTGTGTTAATTTTAAAACATCTAAGAATGTAGCAAGACAGCATTGTAATTTAAGAGGAATATGTTTTAAACATCGCGGCGCACACCAGTAAAGCTCCACTCCACCTGATTCTTTTCTACAACTTCAACAATTCTATTTTATTTTTTTGTTTAATAGTCATATTTCATCAATGTTGTACAAAACCGTAATGAATCATTATAACCATTGCTGAATACTACTTACGGCACTTTTGGAGTTACACGGACGCGGCGGAAGATCAGATTTTTGTAATATGCGTAATATATATTTTGGTGCTTCCTATAAAATATGGATTGTACACAAATATAATGACCTAAATAGAGCCTACGACTAAGTATGTCGAGAATGATATATATATACTTCTAAAAACTCTTAAGTACCGATCCAATTAATCGAGTATTATTTGCTTGAAATACCAAAACAAATATCAGACGGTCATGCTGTGTCGTTATTATAAAATATTGTCCCTAGGGCCAGTCTCTTGAATGGTAGATCCTTTGTTTGTAAAGTAATAACGCTATTGTATGTGTAAACTCAATGTCATAAGTAAAATATAGTCTTAAGTACTAATCAATAATCTGACAGGCAGCAGGACAATACGACAAGATATTTTATCGTAGAAAGTTTGCCTTTGTTCTTGTGTATGGAGGAAGCGTTTATGTTGATAGATTGCCTGAAATGTCATATCGGTAGAAATCGACTTATTTTAAATGGTATCGAACTATTGCGTACTGTAAAGATAGCATGTTCTCCTAAAGATGATTAGGAATGTCTTGGATGTTTTTAAAGTTATCTTTCTACTTTCAAACCCAGTTATAGATTATACGGAGGCTATCAAAAACTATGTGTTCATTGAATTTCAAATCGATAATGTTGTTTTTAGTAAGTATGATAAAAATAAACTGCCTCTGTTGGTTAAACTGTAAAATAATTTTCCTTTTGCGTGTGCCACATAGAACTACACGATAATTCCAGTCCTATGTACTTACTACAAGCCATAAATTGTTAAGAAACGTAAATGTGCGGTGGTTGAAGGATTGCGTGACTTACGCGCCTATTAAACTCATGATGCAAAATACATACAATATGAGAACGCCTTACCTACTGTTAACCTTTCTTTCCTAATGTAAAAATTTATTTGGACCAGTGACCTATTTGACACAGCGGTCTAGACAACCGGCTGCGATGTAGACGTTGGAGTCTGCAGCTAAAATGTCTTTATCGTTGTCTTTTCGTCGTCATTTAGAAACTTCGCAAGACACTTAAAAGTATAAATCCACAGAGACATTCACACCCATATCCCCGAAGGTGTAAGCAGAGTAGAAAAATATAATTATCTGATTCACGAAATATCTAGTGAAAACTGACCACGTTGTCATCATGCTGATTATATCTTAGTAATAATAAACTTATATGAACTTGCCATTTTAGAACCAATTTTTATTTAGTCACTAGATTCTACTACTGTCTACTACAGCAACATTTGTTTAATGGAAAAGTTCAATTTATTAAAGGTATGAGGATTAAGAATACGGAGTTTCATCACGCCTATACATCCCTTGGGTTTCGTAAGAGACGACTTAGGGAGCAAATTCTGCAAGACAAGAGCAGTGCAAAGAGAAGGAAATCTTGACACAAACCCTATAACAACCCGTCTGGCCAGCGTGGTATAGTAGGCCAAAACCTCCTTTCTAAGGAGAGGCCTACGTTCAGCAGTGGACTATTAAAGGCTACTTGATGTGACGATTGATGAGCAGATAGTTTGAACTACGTAGGTTTTGACCTCGTACCTTAAATTTGTATAACCCGCTAAAATCGATCTATTTAGATTTCTATTCTATTCGAAAGTCACAAACAAGATAATAAATAATAAACACTTTTTTTTTAAATAGCACTTGCAATTGAAGTTTTTTGAAATTATATCATTAATTAATTTATTTTTTTAAATATATTATATATAATATGTACTTTAAAACGCATACATTTTTACTGGAGCTTTGCGACTGTTACAGTCATGTTCTGTAAATCTAAGATGGTAATATAATGGTCTTCTTACATTTACAGAACTCGGTAATCAGATCGAAGTATTGACTGTAGGCGAGGGGGATGGCAGCGGGGAAGAGGAGGAAGAAAGTGTACCTGTATGCAGGTGGGCCGCGACGCGGAGTACCCATGATATTTGCGCGGACGCAGCTGTCGCACCCCTCCATACTCAATCTAGGAAGGACATGTCACCTACAGGGGGAAAACGAGGTGGGTGGTGACTAAAACAATAAAACGAAGTTAATTGAATCAGGCCATATTGTATCGTAAACTCTACTGACTTAAAGTTCACTCTCCTATTTGCACGTGGTGATGACGCTATCTTAGCAGCTGTCGTTCGCAATCACTTTCGGCCTGCAAACAAGATTTCGTAGATCTACTAAACATGAGGGGCTGATAATATTGCAAAAGAGGGTTTAGTACTTAAGCCTGTCTCGTTTTACTTGAATGATAATGTTGCGACATATGCGTTTAGTTCAGTATAATCCCGGGTGATGATGATAATTCCATCCACACCGTATCCGGTGATGGCGACTCCTGCGTCTTCAGCCTGGGTTCCCCCTTTGATGGGCTCTGATATGACTTTTTGAAAGTCCGGTTGCATTGAGTTTGAAAGTCCGGTAGAGCTGGCGGTCCGAGTTCAATGTGTAGTTGTACGAGGTCCATGGTCTAGTTTTGGGCATTCAATGCGCAGAATGGATCTTAGACATTTAAGGTGGAAGGGGTCTAGTTTCCTGACATTCCCTTTGTAGCAACACTATTTTTCTGCTGCATATAGAAACGCAGGCAAGACAATGGCTTTGAAGATCAATATTTTAGTTTTGTATGCTAATGTCGTGTGAGTTCCAAACGCGTGCCCTCAGTTTTGCGAAGGCTGCTGCAGCGCCTGCTATTCGGGCTGGTACCTCTGACGCCAAGGTGTAGTCGCTCCTTATGTTCACCTTTGCGTGTGACTGGCATGCCAATTGGATCCACTATAAAATGCGAGCGGCTAACGGAGTGTTTTTTCTTCTAGGCTCATTGCTTTCTAAAACGAGTTAATCAGAGCAATAGCAACAATATCACAAATAAATCCTTTAAAAAAACGGCTTCAAACAATACTAACAAAAAGCACTTAAAACCTAGCAGCAATCGCGGTTGATTTGCTGTAGTTTTTGAAGAGTTCCATTGTTTGTCTCCGAAACTCATCATGAGATCTATATCTAATATGTACCTTTAAACGAGCAATTCTTGTATCTAATCTATATAAGTATAAACTGAATCTCGGAAACGGCTGAAAGTTAAAACTGCTCACATGGTCCTCTAATGCAGCGCAAATTCTCAGACCTACCCAACCAGAGCGGAATGCATATCCTACTATTTCTACTAACTACCTTTTTTTTTCCGTGCGGAAATCCCCTCGGATACCACCTATCGGTGGCATGTCGGACTCGAACCGACTAAAACCGCACGCCGTCTCGGGTACTAATAGCCGGGGAACCAGGTATACCCTAGAAAGGACTTCCTTTCTAGGGTATACCTACCGGGTACCGGGGCACCAGGGACTTCCCTGGTGCCCCGACATACCTCGAGCCATCTACAACAACAGGTAGACGACCCCTCCCGTTGTAACTAACTACCTGGTTCGAAGCAACCTGATTTATGAGCTACTATTGTTCGATGTAGCGAGATTTGTTAAACCGTGAAAAAATATGATAGTAATGTTTTCGAAACTCTTTTAAAATTAAATTTTAATATACATACCTTAGGGATTTAGATTTTTCTAAAAACGCAAAAGAAACGAAAAAAAAACGTGACCGTCAACAGTAGTTGGAGGTATTAATTTTCACAGCCCCCTTTTATCCCCCGACGATAACGCAAAATATGACAATTTTAAACAGAGTTTTTTTAAATTTTTTTTACACTCAGGCAAAGTGTCTTTTTTATGAAAACACTTTCTCAAATCCTGTGGCATATTCATAATTATATAAAACATAAAAACAAGGGGACATACAAAGAAATATGAGTTTTACCCTTTTCGAAACAATTCTATTGATAATAGCACATTATCTTTAAAGAAAAACCGGGAAAAACTACCTACATACATATATCGTCAAACTGAAAGCCAATTCTCATAATAAAAATTCGGTCAAAATTCACTTCCGATCCACTCTCGATCTCTCAAATGTCATAAAAGGTATTTCGTAGTTAAATAGTAAAGTATTACTAAGACTAGCAGATTACCGATTCAACTTTCGATCACAATACGATCTAATCACATTGTAGCCTATGTTGGATATTTAATAATTTAGGTAAAAATTTTAGAATTTTTGAGATCGAGAGTAGGCCCCAAATTGAATTTTGACCGTTTTTATTTCGAGAATTTGCTTTTGGGGTTATTTTGTTACCGACGATGGGAAAATCAGGAGTAATCGAAAAAGGGAAAAAAAAGGCTAGAGAGATGACAATGGAAGGAAAGAAGATAAAAAGAGAAGAAGCAGAGTTTGATGGGAAGACGATACCGTATCTCGAAAATAGCCATTGCCCTGTGTTTTACCCCTGTAATTGAAATCACTTGGCCCCCAATAAACGGCGTTACAATTTTTTTAAAACTTTTTTTTCCCATAAGTACCCGGTTACCCGGAGCCCCAAAAACCCTTCCCCCAATTTGGGTGGGGGGATCAAGGACCCGTCTGATCGTTTTCCCCCCCATGCCCCAAAAAAAACCCAATAAACAGTGTTCAAAATAGTAATGAGGCGATCCATTTTGTTGAATTCTGTCGTTAAACGAAATTGATCTGTTTGAGCAAAAATCCTATCAAACAGAAAACAGGAATTATTTTTACATTGCCAAATTACTACAAGGGATTTTTCCCTTTTTACAATATAGTTTGTTTTAAACAGAATGCTGAAATAGAAGGTTCGTAAAAGGGTGCAGTTGAAAGTTCTTTGTGACGCCAGAAAAACACGGCACGCTGATAAGTGCGGATAGCACCCCCCCCGGAAAGGCATGGACCGCGGCCTTTACCCCACCTACTTCCTACATCTAGAGAAGGACTACGGAAAGAAAGTATTCTTGTTAGCTGGTAAGTAAATTAATGCAATTAATAATATATTCTTAAAAATATATATGTATAAATATATATTTTTGTTCGTATTATATGCGTTGACGCTTATTGAATCATCATAAAAGGAAAGGAAATTTTATCTGTTAAATAGTAATATTTGTAGTTGGATGGAAAAAATACTTTCAGGTACGTAAGTGAAGCGCCGGCAAGCTAGTAGCTTTGAAGAAACTTGACAATTAATGTAATGGGGGAAAACCTTTCACAGTTTTCAGATGTTTATAATATTTAGCCTTATGATTTTCGTCAATAATTTTTTATTTACTCCTTCGTAAGAACCTGAATTTTTATTACTATCTTTTGTCAATTTAAGGTAAAGTTTGACGATATCCTCGTTCCTATTACTACTTTTGAGCTAACCAGCAATCTGCTCGATGCGGACTCATTACATATCCTTAAATGCGAACTGGCTCATCTCTTAACACATACACATTTCAGTGTCGATGGTGCGTAAAAAAAGCCTTAGCGGAAACAAAAAATAAAATATTACAAAAAATATATAGATTTTTCCACTTCTTCTCAAATTAGCTCCAATCACACATAAGCCGCCGCGCCGTCTAAAATTGGATTTTTTGTATGAAACTCGTTCATGTGGAGGACATAAAATGTAAATAACTGTTTTAACGTGTAAAAGGGGTACATTCTAATGTAGATTTAACGGTCGCGCTGTAAAATACAAACAAACAAGTGATGTCTTAGTTAGGGAGGCCGTTATAGTTTTAAATTGTAATTGTGGTTTATTTACCATGTCGATCGCTGTTTTCAGTCTACAGTGTCCAATAATTATCGGGACTACAAGATTGTTACACGTTTTTATAACAATAAAATGTCATCCATTTAATAACTTTTTTCCAGAAACGTAGTTGCTTAGGTTTTTGGACGAAAAAGTACAGAACTTAAAAGTGGTTCGGGGGGGCGGGGGGATTATTTGCAGGCACTGGTGACCACTTACTATCCGTTTAATTGGCACTTTTTTGATATTAAAAAATAATAACTTAATTCAAGACTGATGAGTGACATCTAATTTTTGTTCTTTCTAAGTTCGTTCTAAGTCAATTTAGCATAAAAATGACAGTTTGCGTTTTTGGTCTATATAAAAATAGAATAACTGTGAAATAAGTGTGTAAGAACTTAATAATAAACACTGTGCTCCACTCTACCCACTGACATTACAAAAATGCATTTATTTAGTTATATCCTTTATCCTCAGTCCAATGAACCTATACAGTTAAACAGGTTTAATATATAACAGTACTTAACGAGGCTGGCATACGGTTGACAAACATTACGAAGTTGATACCTGGAACTCGCAACTTCACAAGATGATCAAAGCACATATCTACACTACACATTCCTTATAAACATGTTATACATTAAGGCCTCATTTTATACTTTGAGCAATAGGGCATATCTAAAACTTAAGTACCTACAACGTTTTTTAAGTCATAAAAATGTTATTTCAGGACGCAAACGTAAAAAGTCAGCGACATCAAACTACCTGATATCAACAGACCCCACCGAATTGACGCGGACAGCAGACAGTTTCGCCGGGAAACTTCGATCAAATCTCCTGGGTACGGCGTTCACTGTGTACGACAACGGTAAAGCTTGGAGGAAACATGACCATGGACATACGAGACATGAGTTGGCAGCTGTAGTTTATGTAAGTTATAGCAATACTATGAGTTTAATTTTAAATACGGAAATCATTTTGTTTGTTTGTTTGTTCTGACTTTACGTACTAATTCCTGAACGGATTTTATGATATTTTGGTTGTACGCTGTCAGGGATACACAAAAAACATAGTGTCTTTCATGCCGAACAAAGATATTTGCCCGTGTGATATAAAAGATAACTAATTGAATGCTGGTACTGCTCATCATCATCATCTCCGGTCTTGGGCAGTCCGCATTCATAGTACCTACTTTACATATGATAAAACTAACTAACAAATTAATAACAATAACTACAAACTAACAAATTTTTGAGACAGTGACCTCACTGGGTTTGTGACATTTTACTGAAAGATAAATTGCGGCTTGTGGTTTTTAAATATTTTTTTACGAGAATATTCCATCACCACAATATATATTATGTATATTTATACCTACCAAATAGAAGCATGTCGCACATCACTTATACACTCGTTATTTTTGGAAAATTAAATTGGTTTAGTAATTCAATTCATTGTAACTAGTGACTGTTTTCAGAACTTAGTATTTGGTTACAAATTTAACGCAACCGCAGGATATCACTGTAATGGCTACCGATCGCCGTAGCCTTTGCATTATCCGAAAGCTACTAGAATCTTTTGAAAAGTATTAATTACTTATCAAATTCTTGCAGGATACCAACGTTCTCGGATTCAAAGGTCCAAGGAAAATGACCGTTATTCTACCAGGAATGACTCCAGATCGGCAACGCGTTACAATCGCGCCACAGGACGACAGCGAAACATTACTAGAACGATGGAAAAGCCACACTTTAGATGACATAGTGGTCCTACATAACAAAACGCCTGTTTGGAACGACGAGACCCAATCGTACGTCCTGAATTTCCATGGCAGGGTGACTCAGGCAAGTGTGAAAAACTTCCAAATTGTCCACGATTCTGAACCAGATTATGTGGTCATGCAGTTCGGACGCATATCTGAAGATGTGTTCACTATGGACTTTAGATATCCGCTATGTGCGCTTCAAGCGTTCGGGATAGCGCTTAGTTCGTTTGATAGTAAACTTGCTTGCGAGTGAGCATTTACAAAGGCGTTCGTTATCGTGGTATCGTTTTACTCATGAGGCTACAGTTGACTTCATCCTTATTTAATCAGTATTAGAAGTGTTGAATTGAGTTAACAATAATGTATCACTGATTTCTAAAAGTTAATCGTATTTATCAGTTAAGTACATCCACTAGCTGTCAGTACAGTAAGTCACACTAACGGAAGTTTTCAAAAAACCTGAGAAAATTCATATAAAATGTTCCCTAACAATAAATTTGAATTTAAAGTTGTCACTTGGATCGATATAACTTATTACTAGTTACACCTCTATTTGTTAGTGAATATTTTTATTGCATTTTTCCGTGTTGTAGTTTATTATAGAGGCTCAAAAATGAGCATAATTATAAATTATAGTTTGTTTAAGCTAGACTCACGTAGTCCCATGATGCTACTAAAAATAAATTAATTCCGTTTGGAACTAAACGCACATAATTGAGTTTTTGGTGCTTGTTGTGATGTAGGTTGTGTTTTTTCGTGTTTCGTCATTCATCGACTGTGTTGATCGAATTATAAATAGCAGTATCATATTGATATAACGCAATATAATCACAAAAACCAAACAAAGAATAATTAACCGACAGGAGTCTAAGCACAGATTTCTTCTCCGATTGAAGTAGCTAGCGATCAAAAAAATAATTAAACTAAAAGCTCTATGTTATTCTCCGTTGTAGAAAGGTTGCCTATTCGTTAGTTATGAGTAGTCAACAACTTTACGATTCTTAACTGTTAATAATGTTACAGGTAGTTATCGACACTGGTCTACCATTGAGCGAACCACGATCTGTTACCTTGATTAAGCAAATGTAAAAAAGGTTTTCATTATTCAGTTGTACTGCGCGAGATTAATGATACCTTTAAACACGCACTCTCTTGTAGCTTTAAAAGTCCTCGTAATTCTACTTGTTAGTATAAAATTATTGACTCTATTAGTTGATTCTTAAAGCCTAGGTTTTTTGGAACCTGCGTTGCCTACGTCCCAAACCTTAGTTCAATGATACGGAAGGCCTCGTCATATTCTAGTGCGAGAACTACCGATCAATATCAGTGATTGTCAAAAATTACTCGAATACGCGAAGTTCATGCGTCTATCTTGAAGTTTTTGGCTGTAGTTTTTTTTTGTGTAAAGGTTTTACCGAAATATGGTGTTGTTTAAAACTTCTGTTGTACAGCTTATCTATAGTAGTCGGTCGGCTTCAATTCGGAAAAGGATCTGTTGTGCCTTAGCTCCTGCCGTGACTCCGTTTAAAATTTTATTTATTCCTTCAAAATTTGAGCAAATTTATAGATCTTTTATTAAATGTTATTAACCGCGGTCCAAGGAAATTGAGACATTTGTAATAATCGTGTAAGTTCCTTTGGTTTAATGATGTAACGCAAAAGTAGTAGAAATTGCAGGATTTATTTTTTACTTATTGAAATATTTTATGTATATTTACTGTAGATATAATTAGAATTGTGTATTTTATATCGTCTAATATGAGTTATGTGTTGCGCTTTTAAGTGTGCGATGATTATTGTTACACGTAATGTAGTTTGACTGTTTTATGTGGTGTATATAAGTCATAATTAAGAAGAAGTATCTAATTTATTCGTATAGAGTGGTCAATAAAGGTCAAATCAAACATTGGACGGGGCGGGACGGCAGCGCTGCGTGAGCACATTCTAATGTACTCTACAATAGATAGATGTCATGCACTTTTAGTACATTTCAAATATTGTTGTATCGCCCCGCCTGCTGTCTGACCCAACCTTGAGCACTTTTTTATTATCAATGATTTTTTGGTATTTAAGATCAGATTCGGTAAATGTCACAATCTGAAAGCAGCCGTATACAATTTATTATTACAATATCGTCATTATTTAAATGCACTAATAACTGTGTAGGTTTTAAGATGAACTCAACTGAAGAAGTGTCTGTCAAAATGTAATATTTCAATCAATGAAAACAAGAGACGTTAAGAAGCAAATTACAATTTAACGATTCGGTTCCACTTGTAATGTGTAATTAATACTACATTAATATTTATATACTTATTATTTCTCACAGGTGACTTTACCTCCTTATGTTGTTATCAACCTTAACATTTCTTGACACATTTTTCAAAAGAAAGTTAACACAAACTGAAAGACATTAGTTTTAAACAATTGTTAACTAACAAACACGTATGCCTTGCTCATGTCTCGCTGAGGCTGTGTTCCGATAGCGCAAGATCACGACGCGCTTTGGTAAAACGTGTCAACAAGTACTGGTTTATGTTAGAACAAGTAATTTTGTTCAAGTGGTCTCCGGCTTGAAACTAATCCCCAGTAGTAGACTGCTATTTGTTTATTGATGATGATTGAACATGGTTTCTATGTGAATTCTACCCAAACACCTGAAACCATCTGTCTGCTTTGTATTGTACGTTTATTAGTTATTTGCAAAAGTCCCACTTTAGAAAATCTGTGTATGTATGTTTGCTTGACTGTCACATGCTCAAATATACTTCAAGTGAGCCGTAATAATTATTGTAGGTTTAGGAATTAAAATAATAATCAAAAGTAATTTGTTAGTGAATCTATAACGAATTCAGCATATCAAACGTTACCTTTTAAAGTTAAATTTATGATGTTCATAATATTAACAACACATTGTCTAACATGTTTAAATCACAATACGCATAATGAATTCGACACTTGATCTTTGTTTCTTAAAGAACCCGTATTGGTAATACTGTGGTCACTGTAATTAATCTACAGAAACACAGAATCAGTGGTATACTACCTATAACACTAATTATGTACCTATAATAAAGATTGCTTATACTAATTTGATAGGCGCATCTTGACAAACAACTTTCAGGATGCGCCTATGTTAGACAGTATTTAATCTTTCGCATAAAAAATATAAAAAAACACCTTTAGTTTACTCAACTTTTTAGGACTGAACCAGAAAATAAGTTGATAAATAATCTATTCATCATCATGTTCTATCATCAAAAATGTACTAAACAACATCAGATTTATTTATTTCACTTTTAGTCATCTATTCGGACTTTAAATGTTATAATTTTAATTAACACAATTTGTCTGCAATATTATATTGACCCCATAAAATATTCGCAGAACCAATTTTATGTACAAACTATTATAAGCATCACATAGACTAAACATTGGATCCTAGTCATTTCAGGTTTTAGTTATATTTAATTTAATACTGTATTTAGTATATTTAATGAGCACAAACTACGTTAAGTATTACGCATTTAATTATGTATATTCGGTGTCATAGTATTAGCTAATTAATTTTGGAATTGTTACAAATAATTGATTCGTGCACTATTTAATATTTTAAGCTAGTAAACATTGTATTGATAGTCATACCAAAAAAAAAAATGCTAGAATGTTTAAAACTGATTATAACAATTTATTGTCTATGGTTGTATCAATGATATTATAAAATGGAAGTGTAATAACTACAAATGTTCTATTAAAAAATTTAAACTAAATAAGGTCAAATCAGCAGTGAAAAAGATAATTCCTATAGATGGGTCAAAATCACAGTGAACTGTGAATGAACGGTGATTTATCATTCGATTTTTTCGTAGGTTAGGGTTAAATAAGCCGTTGCCAATAAGCTGTTTTCAGACGATGCATAAAGACCCTATTTCGCCCATTTAACAGTAAATCTAGTAATTGTTTTATTATATATAGCTACCATTACCCACATAATAATTTATTTTTACTGATTTACTGTTAAATAGCGTCTAACCTAGCAACCCTAACCTACGTACGTAAAAATCAAATGATAAATAACAGTTTACTGTGATTTTGTCCCATGTTTAATAATTACCACTGGAGAGGCATGCATTAACACTTATGGGTCGGCTCGACAGGAGTTATACCACGGCCCCACAGAGAACCGGTCTTAAGCAATTCTTCGTTGCTTTTCACCGAGTTAGTTTACCGAATGCTCCACCGAACTCCACCCCCTCCAGTTCTAGGGGCGGCATCAGTTTATTGAGTCGCAGGAGTCCAACGGCGCCGATGGCCACTAACCATCAGATGAACCGTCTGCTTGTTTGTCCCTTATAGCTTAAATAGAAATCGCAACTCGAAGCTGAAGCTGACTAATAATAATAGTCTTTTTATTTCGAGTGTTCCCTTCACTTAACTAGACCTCTGCCCTTTCTTGTGTATAAAATCATCTGCTTGTTTATTGTCAGTAATCAGTTATACCATACCAGTATTATTTATTTTAATATGTAAACTTTAATGTTGCATTAATTTATGAACTTGACAATAACAGTATCCACTGCCTTCTTAAACATTCGATTATGAACAATAAAAAATATTCTCACCAAAATAAAGGCTAATAAATCTATTAAAATAAATATATGTGCCTATAATAGGTTACGTGTTTAGATAGCTAAATGGGAAACTAAAAGATTTATTCATAAATTAAATGAATTATAAAATTATCAAATCGTCGATAAATTATGAGCTTGTAGGTAAAATCAAATAATAATACTAAATAATTAAGAGAGCCCTAACAGTGTCATTTCATATGAACAATGAAATATCAAAATTGCATCATATTTAAATCATTTACACAAAAGTACAGGTGGCACTTCTAATCTTATAGATGGTACGATGATGTACCAATATATAATACAAAACTTTCACAAAACACTACTGTGAAATTGTTAGAAAAATTTATGTTACTCATCTAACCACAAGCATTATAATAAATTCTAGTTACGTACGGCAACACACGAGGATTAAATAAGTAATCCTTAAAAATATAATCCCCTGGTCGTCAAATTTAAGTAGCTCCCTGCCGCGTCATTAAATGGCTACAATAATTTATAACATTAAGTGGCGTCTGATGCTTTAAAAAAGACTATTTTTCTTTAACTAAAGTAAATCACTCCTTTTTAAGTACTCCTATTCTAGCATGTTAATTCACATTTGGTATTCATTTCATGAACTAAAATTGTAAATAGTAATGAATAAATTTTGGTGTATTGTGCCTTTGGTAATGATAGATTTAAGGTTTGTGCCTTTTGTTTTCATGTCTACTATATATTTTGTACCTGAAGCTTATCGTAGACCGAATGACTAATCCCCCCTTTACTAGAAGACAAATTGCTTTCTACACGTTTGAAGATGTTTAGATAATGTATTTAGAGCAAATTTTACAAGCGCAAAGCTGTTTTTAGACCTTGTATAATCGTCTTAGAATAAATGTTCAATGAAATGTTAGCCTGATCAAGATTATAAAATATTAGATAAATTTAATTATATATATCAACTGAATTACAAGAACTAAATTTAAGAACAATGTGTGTACTTAACTTCCTGGTCAGGCTCAATTGTGTAAATTGTCATGAGAATGTCCAATAAAATTCTTAATTTATATAAGTTTTTACTAATAATTTTCCTGTTATGAAATATTTGGAAGAATTTTAAAGATGGCCTACTGCAGACATCTCTATATTGACGCGAGTTCGTCCAGTACCCATGAATAGTTAGATTTAGAGACCTCGAACAGTTGCAGAGTACTCAGTACGAGAATTAATACAGGGAATAGGGAGGTCAGGCGACATTTAACCTAAGGTTGAGGAATGGGTATTTGTGTGATCTTTAATTAAATATCTACTAATTGGTATTAGCGTTTTTTTTATCCCATAGTTGTATATGGAGAGATCGGACAGCTACCTATTTAAAGATTGCTGGACCAACTCGTTTCTAGTTGTAATAAATAATAATACTAATAATTTCTAAAAAATAATAATACTATAATTACTTTGAAGTTTGGTTAACAAAAATGTATTTGCATAAATCTATTCTTATACTGTTGGCACATTGACTACAATATTGTAACTGTAATTAAAAATTACCTTAAATTAACTTATACTTAATCTTAGTAATATTTGTCTTTACATTTTTGATGTATAAAATATTTGTGATATGTCTACTGTAAATAATGTACCTAATGAAATATTAACACACTTATTTCTAAGCAAGGAGTTAAAATGATAACTAGCAAAGCACTATGCATTTGATGTCCATTAGAATGATTTTGAAATTGTATTTGATATTACTTTACTGTCATTTATTGTTTCCTGTGCAAAATCATGTTGGCAAATGTATCATAACATGTTCTTAACCAGTGTATTTAACAAGACATTCCTCGTTTGTGATATTAAAATCATGTTTTGTTATAAATAAATGATATTGGTGCAATGAATTTTTATTTTAATCTACTTCCTGTTAAATTCATTAATTAAATTCATTTCAACACATTGGGCTAAGGTGCTGGGCCAGCATTCTGCATTGGTGCTTTGATAAAGATGGATGTGGAATCTCTTGCAGCTGCGGCAATTTATATAATATACTTAATTATTAGATATCTAAATGTGTACCAACATGTGAATGCTGCTTGCGGAGTGCTCCAAGATCCTTTGATGTGTGCACGAAAAGCCGACACTAATTGGTTGGCCGGCCAGTGTTGTCGCCAATTACCAACATACCGCCAAGTGATTCTCTACTCTTCGCGCCAGAACCTCAGCTCAATAAGTAAATATATTCAGACTTGATTGGTGCCTGGTCTAGCATATGTTAGTTAAAACAGTTAAAACTTCCTACTAATGGGTGAGGACCCAATTTCCAAGACAAATGGAATAGTTTTGATTAGCTAAATACATCTTACATTGAAGTCATACTGATCTCAGTCCCAGATCTAAGTTGGGAGGGGGGCACCCGTTCCGAGCGGCAGTTTCAGGGGGCGCCAAAATCATAATTTAGAATGTTTAAAAAAAAAAACTCCTAAAAAGAGTACCGTAAAGTAATGATGAGTATTATTTCTTTATGAACACTATTTTCTCAAACTTTCAGACGGATTTCATTACTGATTAGATTTTTTAATTTGATAAATGATTTAAACTATTATACAATGTCTGTGGGATGACGGATTAAGAATATGCAGTGTCACCACCTCTGTTCATTTAGTGGGTGTCATGAGAGCCCACTAAGGGATGGAAGACAAACAATGCAGGAAAACATCACTGCAAAGAGAAGGAAAACTTGAAACAAACCCTCTATCCGGCAGTGGACTACTAAAGGCTGTTGATAATGATTATACAGTATTTTTATTGATTACTTTATTGCCTATTTATTACTTACTATACTGGATCACCTGGGTGTGAACGTAATAATAACAATCTCACACATGGGCTGTCTCATACCTAATGAGGCAGAGCCTATACTGAGGTAAGCAGGCTGCTGATAAACTTATGATTTACATAAATTACATTATGTATCATCATCATCATCATCCACAGCCTTTACTAGTCCACTGCTGGACATAGGCCTCTCCTTGGAAAGGAGGTTTTGGCCTACTATACCAGACGCCTACTGACCAGACGGGTTGGTATAGGGTTTGTTTTAAGTTTTCCTTCTCTCTGCACCTACGGGATAAATAGGGGTGGTGACACTCTGTATTCTTAATCCGTCACCACACGGACCATAAATTACACCCAGACACAGAACAAATTATCATGTTCATCACACAATTATGTGTCCTGAGTGGGAAGTAACCTACAACCTTTAGCTTAGCAGTCAGGATTGCTAACTGCTAAGACACACAGGCCCTTAAAAACACATTTGTAATTTCACACCGTTCTGTCTGCAATAAATGGCAACTGACGTACTCGTAAAGTATCATATACCTATGTTTAACTTATTCTGATCAAGATTTCACCTTTTAAATAAGTTACCATTTTGAAGATCATCCATTGCAGTTGTTTTCCTTCCACAATTGCCTACTTACTTCTCATTTAATTGACATGTTCAAACTACTTCAATGTACCTTTTTATCTCTTTTTGTGATTAGTAATGCTCCCAACTTAAGCAACAAGGAAACCAGCCAGTTTCACTTTTTTAATCAACCAACAACAGCAAACTCCAAAAAGTGGTGTAGTATTTTAAAAGTTGTATAATAGTCTTATAGCTCAGTGAATTTTTCAAACTACACTGAAGAATAAATATATCTATAATAATATATATTAAAGTATCCATACTAAATGAAACTAAGAATAAAAAATAATTAAAATAAGTTAGAATATTTACATACAAGCATCAAAAAATTCCTCCACATCATCGCCTACTAGTAGCATTCCCAGAAGACTGGCAGCATTGCCACGTTGAATGGCAATGCTGATTCTCTGAGCGAGAAAAAGGCCAGCCTTCTGATCATGAGAAGTGTCAATCAGTAGTTTAACGAATATATAAGTAAATAATCACTAACTATATATATATTAATTATAATCTCTTGATTGCATTGTTTCTGCATTGGATGGATGCAGAAGGCTTGCAAATTATGTACGTATGTATGTATATTTAAATTTTGGTGTAAAACCTAATCGGATATTACTTTAACCTATTTAATCCCATATGTGATTTTGCCGACTTTTATATCCAGTTTAGATTTGATATATTTTATAGCTAGTAAACAACATATCTTTTTTACAATTGATTTGCATAATCTTGACAAATTTTTAAAATTCAAAAGGGGTAGAGGTTATACTAAAATATAAAGATTCGTTTTTTAAAGTATTTTATTGTCGGCTTACATACAATTTTCAATTTTCTTACATACAATTATTCTGTCTTCGCGGCTGCCGCTTTAGGTTTCTTGGCTTTGATGGGCCTCTGTGAGCGCATGATAGCTGATGCACGACGGAGGGTAGCCTTGCACAGGTCCGTGCGGTAGTGGTTAGCTTTCAACAACTTCTTTACCTTGAAGAGCGATCTCCTAGCGCCGGCTTTGAAGTTGCGACGTACTGTGTTCTTAGCGGGCTTATTTGTCGCTTTAGCTTTCTTGTACACAACTGAGAAACTTTTCCTGTCTGAGTTTTCTACGACGCCTATAGCCTTCTTGTGAATCAGGCCATTGTATCTGTAGGAGTTGAGGTTAGTTACGTTGTTGGGCTCCTTGCTGAAGGGTTTCTTTATGTTACGCTTCTTCACCAGGAAGGCGTTGTTGTTGCGGATGATCATCCAGTTTAGACTCGACATTTTCGTAGTTTTATTTGTGAAAACTACACTGAATACAACGTGCTCTCAACGTGTCCGTAGACAAAAAGAAAGAAGATTGTTGTCTGTGGTTTGCTTACTGTCAAACTTGGTGACAGACGAATGCTGCCATGTATAATATTTTATTTTCTATCGTACATTAAATAAGTTTGTTTTATACTAATTGGCTTTTAAGAATAAATTATTTACAATATTGGCTCCGAACGCGAAGGAGAGACATACAAACATTTTTTATTAACGAGATGTACTTCATAAATTTGCCAGTCATTCACATAACAAAAACAGCCTTTAATAGTCCACTGCTAGACATAAGCCTCTCCTTAGACAAGAGATTTTGGCCTACTACTCGTATACCAAGCTGGCAAGACGGGTTGGTATAGGGTTTGAAGTTTTCCTTGCTGCTGGACGAGGCGGGTAAATTGTTTGAGAGGGTTCTCTCTGCCCGCATCGTCCGGCACCTCTACGAGGTGGGCCCCGATCTGTCGGACGCCCAATTTGGTTTTCGGACGGGGCGTTCGACAGTCGACGCTATTTTGCGCCTGAGGGCCTTGACCAAAGAGGCTGTGAGCTGTGGCAGCGTGCTGTTGGCGGTGTCATTGGACATCGCCAACGCATTCAATAGTCTGCCATTCAGCTGCAACAGGGAAGCACTCCACTATCATGGGGTGCCAAAGTACCTGAGGCGGCTAGTGGCAGACTATTTAGAGGAGCGTACCGTCGTGTACGAGGACCGAGATGGTAATTTGAGGTGTCGGCCCATGTCGTGCGGTGTTCCACAGGGGTCTGTTCTTGGACCCCTCTTGTGGAACATAGGGTACGACTGGGCCCTTCGCGCCGATTTCCCCCCCGGGCTGGGTGTAATCTGTTACGCAGACGATAGCCCGCAAATGGAGCGGGCCGGCGCTAGGAGGGGTCCACCACCCCGCCGCAAACCCCGGTGGGGTGACGGTCCGAGGGGATTTTCACACGTTAAAAAAAAAAAAAGGGTTTGAAGTTTTCCTACTCTCTGCAGTGCTGTTCTTCTGCGTAGTTTTCTCCCTTAGTCGGCCCTTACGACACAGTCATATATTTAATTTACTGTCTTATTTCCCGTACCATCATTACAAGAAATGATTATGATGTCTACTGATGTAAAACAAAATCGTCTCACTTGACAAATCAAATTATATTATTTTAAAACTAAATTTATCTACCGCATCTATCGTAAGATTAGCTAGGAATGCCCTTTTGGTAATTATCATGCCCTCATTGGCAAGAAATAAATCGTGTCTAAGTCAGTGTAAGAAAAAATATTTTCTAAATCCTTTAATTTTAAATGATAAAATATTAAATCAAACAATAAATGTCCTTTAAACAATAAATTATATCCTTTGGGCTTTGGGTTTAAGCTGTGAACCAGTGCTTGGTAATCCATGTGGTCCAAGCATTAGCTGATGCTTAGACCTTTGCTTTCGGTATTTTAGTTTTTCTGTATATTTCTACAAAAGTGCTATAATTCTAAAATCAATAAACTGGTATTCTATTCTATTCTTTGTTACAAAAAACTATAAAAATCTGTGATATAAATTTTAATCAAATTAGAGGAGCGATTTTTTCAACAGTCATATGTTATAAAACCTGTAATCTCAATGAAATCTTAATATTTAGATAATTATAATATCTATGTTAATAGGTGAATAATGTGGTATTTATCTTATTGATAGAAAAAAAATTTCCAACAAGAAAAAGAGATAATATATTTTTATCAGAAACTACTAAAGTTCTTTCTACGAGGCAAATATTTTTATTCTATTGTTACACTATTTGCAAAACCAAAGAGTAGATAGATGCATATTTTTAAATATTTTGTTGTTTGTTAAATGGAGGTCATTATTAGTATTATTTACAAAATTACATATTATCCTTAAATCAAACTCCTAGGTATATAAAAAATAATATTGCTGTTTATCTTAAATTCGTTAGACATACAAGCTTCACACAAACGGTTGAATTTTGCGGTCTTCTGTAGTCTATGTAATTTACCGTTGACTTCTTTCATCTTCATCCTTTTTTTGGCATTTTGCTTATGGTGATATGTCAAATTCCAAACTAAAACTTGCCTGGGACAATTCGTGTTGGTTCTTATTAAATCTTTTTTTCATAATTATATTTACAGTATTCCTTGTAATAAATGTTGTACTTTAGTGAAATTTATATGTGATTTGCGTAAAGTGCCAAATTGATGTCTCCTTTTGATTGGTATTATGAATCAGGTTGATCAAAATATAAACAAAGATATGTTTGATTCTGATCTGATTGACGTGGAATCGTTGGATTATTCCGATGATCAGACGTGGTGAGTATTATTAAACAGTATATATATAAAAGAACTATTACAGCTAATTATGGGAACCGTTTACGGGGTCATGCATGTGTTGTCCGAGGGAATTGTCAGGTATCTGTTTGATATTATTTAGCCTGATCTAATTAATTACTCAGTTATTTATTTCCAGTTAAACCAGTATTTTAGCACAAACCACCTTGCCCAGGTGGTGTTATGTTATGATTTTGCTAGAGATGAATCACCTTCATCCAATAGGTGTCATTGCTTTTAATGCACTTGAGCCAAAGGTGGAAATCTTCATTATGTTTTAAAACACTATGCTTTATCTAAGTTAACTGTAATTTCTACACAAATACTTAATGTATTTTAAGCAATGATATACATTGTATTAGTTGTACAAAACCACTTTTACAAGAAGACTAAATTTATTAAAAAAAATACTTTTTGTATTGCTAATGATGATTACTTAACAGTAATAGTAATATTTACTTTAGTGTATGTATTTAAATAAGAATCTACCCACACATTGTTTTAGTTTCATAAAATATACCCTGAAGTTGTCATCAGTTATTAATTTTAATTATATTAAATTACTTGTATCAAAACTATAAAGAGCTAATTAATAAATTTGGAATTATTGTCATTATAATTTTTTTTAAAGGGTTCCCCTTTAAAAATTAAAAATGAAATAGAGAAAATGAAATAAAGTAAGAATCAAATAAATAAATAAAAATAAATAAAAAGATATACCTATGTAAATTCTACAAGTGAAGTGAAATTAGTTTGTTGTTATAAAAATCTACCAAATGTTGAGTTATTTGTTATGGGAAATAACTCAACATTTGGTATATTATTATTATTATAATTTTTTATGTTATTGATAGTATATTTATTAAAAATGTACTTATGTGTTTATTTCGGTGAAGCCCAATGTTCACTCCTTGCAAAAGTGTCCTTGTTATGTTCAAAGTAGTAGTTCAATTAAGTAGTTGGTCATCTCCATGATACACATACAAATTTGTATATCTTTCATCATATCATCATATCAACAGCATATAATAGTCCACTACTGGACATAGGCCTCTCCTTAGAAAGGAGGTTTTGCTGCTATATCACACTGGGCAGATAGGTTGGTATAGGGTTTGTGTCAAGTTTTCCTTCTCATGGCAGTGCTGTTGTCCTCAGTATTTTGTTCCCTTAATCGGCTCTTTCGACATCCACGGGATGAATAGGGGTGGTGGCAATCCGTATTCTTAATCCATGTGATGTATATCTTTAATAAATAACAAATACAACACACAAAAGTTATTATTACTCGAAACTACTTTCTTATCTGATTGATTAGATATTTGTTTATACTTTTATAACAAGCACTTGACATAAATTGCACTTAAATAAGTGTTTTGAAGCCTGATTATAAATAGAGATAAATGTAATGGTTTAAATAAAAATGCTTAACCATTTATATTCAAGATTTATGGTTTAAACTAAATTCTTTAGTTTGTTATTGTCTCATTTTTTTTTGTCTTAATGAAAATATGCAATCATTCTTCAAATAAAAACAGTATAAGAGTAAATATATTTTTAATTTAAATAATATATAATAATTAAATTGTTCATAAATTACTTTTATTATAACAAGGACAGAATACTTTGTATTGGATATGAAATTTATTTATGATTGACTAGATGTAGTGTAAGTCACTAATGACAAACAAAAAAAAATCAAATCAAAGACTTGTTGTTGGTTTAATATTTGTATTTGAAGCATCCAATTGGATACCCATTACAAATGATTATAAGAATTTTAAAATCCAATTAGATTCCATTGCTCTAATTGCTTGCATTGCAATATATGTTAAAATGTGTCATAAGAAAAAATTTACAAACTAAAATTATGTCAAAAACAGATACACAAAAATTTATGGTTTCAGTAAATATTTTGACCTGACATAGTAAAAAAGTCCATCCATAGTCTGTAGAGGCCAAGTTATACTGGTCAAGGAAAAAGATTAAGAAAGGGTTAAGAGTTTTAAAATAAAGTTTAAAAATGTTAGACCATTCTCCATCATCAATGATGATGATGAATGGTTAAACATTTTCAGGTCAGAGTTTTAAAATAAAGTTTCAAAATGTTAGACCATTAAATCATCAATAATGACTATATTTATAAAGTACAAAACAAGTACAACTAATGGGCCAACTTTATTATGCTGGTATTCATGATAACTACATTTTAGTCTTATGTAACAAAATCTTTGTTTACTTGTGAGTGTGGATACGGTGGCCAACGGTTGGTCAATTTTTTTCACCATATATCTCTGCTTTTGTTAATGACAAGTCTGACTACTATAGTATGCCACCCAAATTGAAATTATTTTTTTGCAGGTTGTACACAATCCCAGATGATTCGGGCCAGCATGTGGACATTGTGGACTGGAACCTTTCATGTGACTGGCCCAGCAATGAAGACAATGACTATCTTAAACTTGAAAAAGAACTATATACAGTGCTTGATAACATACTTAAAAGTAAGTACACTTTGTAGTACACTTTAAATCTATATTAAGTCACTTACACAAGTAGAATGTGATTATGTGTATGTTCATATTTATAAAGTGCTATTTATAAATGCTGATTAGTTCGATTCCCGGACTGGGCAAAATTTTATAGGGTTTTTCTGAGAGCCAAAATAGCCTAAGTTACTCCTTAGACAGACAGCTACCTGGTAGTAAAATATTCTCAAAATTTAGAAGATTATTAGAAACAGACTGACAGACAAAAAATATTTAAGGTGCTTTTTAGGCATAGGTAACTTGCTAATAATGGCGCGATCATGAGAAAAACCTATCATTTTGACATTACAAACAGACAGTTCAACTTAATTTATTGCTTAGCTGTCTTCTCCAGCTTATCACATGTGTATAGGATGCACTGGAGTTCTTATATTGAGAATCAGTTGGACTGTATCTCTTATATTACTTATACCATATAGGACTCTTATCCTCAATGTCTGTGTGGGTAACGGATTAAAAATACGGAGTGTCACCACCCCTATTCACCCCATGGGTGTCGTAAGAGATGACTAAGGGAGCAAACTATGCAGGACAACAGCACTGCAAAGAGAAGGAAAACTTAAAACAAACCCTGTACCAACCCGTCGGGCCAAAACCTCCTTTCTATGGAGAGGCCTATGTGCGGCAGTGAACTATGAAAGGCTGTTGATGATGATCCTCAAAAGTTGAACTGTTCTCGTATGCTAAAATGTCTGCATGTCTTGTGTCTAAAATCCATTTAACTACAGTTTTGAACTGCAATATGATACGATACTAATAAACTTACGTACTACATTCTTTACTTTTGCCTAGTGTTACGGCCCCAAGCATACTATGTCTGTGCAACTTAACCGAGCAGAGGCATTTAATTTACCGATTCTGACTATACCGGAAAAGACTACTACGACTATTATCAATCCTTAACCATCCATAGTTCGCACAACGGCTAGATTACTGTCAGATTACCTATAAATCGTCATTCCTTTGAAATGTGTACTTAACATATAAGATGAAATTTTCTGCTAACGAACACGCTAAATGTTCCGCTGAGTCAAGGATTTAATCAGAAAATGATAACTATCGTTAGACTCGAAAAACTACATAGCCCTCTCATTATTTATTCTATTCCAACATTCTATTTCAAGCAAAGATCACGTAGTAGTTATAAACTAATCGCCGCCAACTCTAATTTTAACTGCAGATCATTAATCCTACTAAACCTGGCCCTCTCTCTCTATATACGACAAAGGCTGTATCAATTTATCTTTGATAATTAACATTTGGGCTCTGCTAATAGGAATCTCAGTTTTTTTTTTTACTTTATAATTGTCTTTCTGACAGAAAACAATAACCATTTAAAAGTTGTCTGTGACCAACACGATTGATGTGTATCTCGAACCGACAAAACTCGATACATACATAGTTGAAAAGTGTCAATTTAAATTTTGACCCTTGTGTCTCCCTCCAATATTTTCTTAATATGAAAAGTGTGAAGCTTGGTAGCTGATAAAAGATGCTTTTAGATAACTGTACTTATGTACTTGGAAATTAGTAGAAGAGAAAGGAGTATTCAATAACTATTCGTTTATGTTTATAAAGCTTTTATAAGAAAAAAACATAAGCAATACAAATAGCTCGTTATGAAAACCCCTTAGAATAATAACGGGTTGTTTCTATTACCAACATGTTTAAACTATTAACAAGCCTTAATAGGAAAATTGGTGTATTGCTCACTCATGTGCTAGATTTTTTTAGGTCTAGACGACCTATTATAGTTGTCTCCAAGCATAATTATGTATGTTCAAATGAAAAAGGCACAACCAATTTAAAATATCGATATCGCATCGACTTATATTGGCCAGTAAAGTCCTATCGTCGCTGCGGTCTGCCCTAGTAGAAGTATATCTTATGTCCCATATTCTTCCAAATGTATTAGCAGAATTCCTTCAACTGTGTAGATACGCCTCCTCCTTACACCTAGGTTTCTACTCCTGTTCTTTTTACATTACGTATACATAAACGATTACGAATTGTTATTACGTATTGCAGATGCCATCTTGTCAATTCATCAAGGTTTCCTTAAACTTAATTGTCTTGAAATTAACACAAAAGGGAATTAGATTCAGCTAGTATCGTATAATCATTATGACCACTCAACATTTAGCCATTAAACAAAAAGTTTCTCACCAATATGGTTGTTTCCATGCAATTTTAATTCGTATCTACGAGTATACTGATTACTTTTAGGATGTCGCATATATCACTGTACTCACCCGTACCTCATCCTGTTTCACTTTCTTGCCCTTTAAGAAGTCTATGAAATGTCTCTTTAGATTGTTTCATACTAAAATAAAGCGGTGGTGCATTTGACTTCGAAAATATACTATTTTCGCAGTCAAATTCGGGGTTTATTTAGGAACTGGAATCCGCTATTATATGTCCCAATATTATTATTTCTTTTTTTTGTACTTTAAAACCGTGTATTAGGCGTGACGATCTGTCGGATCTCTAACACTGGCACCTATTGGCAGAACAGGCAGTGGACAGATTGAATATTGACTTGATTATTTCCGACTACGGTGGCGTTTCCCTTAACAGCCTTCAGCATTATAATTATCGGTCTTAGACACTAACATGAAGAAGTCTATTTAAAGATTTGCACAGTTCGTTCGCCTCTTTAAGAGATAACGACAAACGCTCTTTATATTCGCAAAATCTGTGAAATATTGAGAAAAATGCACAAAGCCAAAAACATATAATTCCGTTTTACTCTATAACGATAGACAGCTTGATAAGAATTCACGAATTTGTCTTATTGGTTATTATGTACTTTATGAATTGCATGCAGTTGGCACAACTATCAATATTACTGACTGTTGTAGTAATCTAATATATTACAGATTACTTTGCAAAGTTAACCAATATAACTACCAATGACAACTTAAGATCTACATGACCAGACTCTGTTAAAAAAGTTTTCAAACTAGTTATAAAGAGCAGCACATAGTATTGCCACAAATATGAATATTTCATTACGAAGTTTGCTACGTCATTTTTTCGGTGCAAAAGCATATTTAGCTGTAGGTAATCATTAGAGAATGTTACATTGGTTCGCTATGCTTCCTGATAACAAAATGTTAATTACGATTTAGAATTATTTCAATCGGGCATTAAGTAAAGGATATTGATCATAAACAATTGGTAGCATATCTAATGACGTTCGATACGGCTCGTGAGCTAAAAACAAAAGATCTGATATCATGTCTATATGTACTGATATTTAGGGCTTCAACGATTTTAACACATGTTATTAAGTTTGTTTAAACTACAATTTATTTACACAAGCCAATTTTAAAGGCATCCTTTTCTATGTATACATTTTGTTTTTTCTTTGTCGAATATCAAAGCAACAAGTGAGAAATCTATAAACAGTTCTTCTTTTTGTGTGTCGGTCTTTAATTATATATTATGATAATAGTCAGACTATGGTTTCTAGGAAGAAAATTGAACTGAATGCTTTTTATAAAGCGTAAAGACTTATTAATAGGACGTCTGACGGGTCAGTTCTATATAAAATTTATTTCAAAACATTTTTTTTTCTCCTTAACCCCAAGTTGTAAACATTGAATGGATAAACCAATTTCAAGCGGTTAAGTTATGTCCTGTCTGGCCAGCGTGGCAGCGTGGTATAGTAGGTCAAAACCTCCTTTCTAAGGAGAGGCCTATGTTGAGCATTGGCATACTAAAGACTGTTGGTGATGATGCTACGACATATTTGTAGTATGTATATTTTATGGACATACGCTTCAAGATATCATTTAATTTATTAGAATACGTTACTATTACACATACAGCAACCCAATAATGTATGTGCGAACGTATCTATTAAAATATATTCTGAGCCATATAGTTATTTGCGTTATATATTTAACCGTTTTAAGGGATCTCAATATATCCACATACCCTTAAAATATATATTGTTGATCCTGTTTAAATATTAGAATGAACGCAATAACAAGAATTTGAACAATTGTTTTAAATCTTTTTAATCGTTTTATTAAAGAAAACTAGTATATTTTAAATTGTTATTAAAAGACGATTTAATGGAAGAATTATTATTTTTTTAAATAAAAGATGCACAGATTTGTCATGAGGCATTGAAAATGAAATTCTGCTCATCCTTCTTCCTGTACATTTCTTCTGCTTTCATAGCATTCTTGCTCTTCGCGTTTACAGCGTGAGAAATATAGGACCAAATCATATAATCTCTAAAATATAGTGGTCGTATAAAATACATCGAATGCTATAATGTTTAAGACACGTCTCCTTATTTTTGTGTATGTTGTAGTTGTAAAAGAAAACATTCTATATTACACTTTTTATTTCTTTTTATCAAATCACTTTATATTTTTATTACGTTACCAACACATTTTGTGCAATATCCATACTAATATTATAAATGCGTCTGTCTGTTACATCGTCACGCTTAAATCGCTGAACCGATGTAGATTAAATTTCTTACAGAGATCGTCCTAGTCCCAGAAAAGAACATAGGGTAGTTTTTATCCCAGAAAACATCCTTTAAAGGGGTGAAATGGGGGTGGAAGTTTGTATGGAGAATCAATAATCGCTCAACCGATTTAGATGAAATTTGGTATGAAGATACTTCGATTCTTAAGGAAAGAAATAGGCTTCTTTTAACCGCATTTACCGATTTTTACGCGGGCGGAGTCGCAGGCAAATGCTAGTAATAATATATACTAAAGTCTGACGCACAAAAAGAGTTCTCGAAACTTAGCAAAACAATTGTGTCGTTCATTCGGTTAAACATATTTATTTAACTGTTACGTCAGTTGTTTAATTTGTAATGAGTATGTTTAGTATGTAAGTGTTAGCCCATAAGAGCTTAATGGTTATTACAAGCACATTGAAACTACGTCGTGAAATCCTACTTGTATGTTTTCTAATCACTTCCG